TGATATTCAGAGCGATGTGTCTAGGTTCCTAGCGTATTCACAATCAATATATTTTTCTGATTTTTTTTGGCCCGGCATTCTCTTTTGTTTGTATGCATTGAGGGCTGAAATGAGCATTGGTAGGGGGAGGTTGCAGTCGGCATTGCGGACTCAGCCCCCCCCCCCCCGCCGAAAGTATATAAATTCATGCCCTGCCTGCATCAGAAACAAGAGCGTCTATCTCAAGCATCCACCATGACAAATTTCTGCGTCGGTATTCACCATGGCGCGTCTTGGCGTCGATGTCTGCTGATTGGTGTGCCTCTGTGCCGGCATTCAGGAAGGTATGTCTGTGTGCTAGTACTAATGTCTCGCGTTGGTGTCGACTGCGGCGTGACTTTGTGTCAGTAGTCGCCATGGCATGTCTTGGCGTTGACATTTTCCATGGCCTATATCCGTGCTCGTATTTGCCATCGGCATTCGCCTGTGGTGAATGGCACCATTCACCACCATTTATCATGTCGGCATCCGCCACGACGCTCACCAACGTGTTTCTGCGTTGCCGTCATCCATACGATGTATCTCCGTGCTGCTGCTCTTTACATGTGTCTCATTGTCGACATTCGCCGTGGTACGTCTCGGCAACAGCACGCTCCCGTGTCGGCATACTGGTGGCGCGCCTGTGTGTCGGTATACGCCGGCGCGCGCCTCCGTGCTGGCGCCGCCCTGCCAGCCTCACGGCCCGCCATTATCATTACCCAATCGCTTTGCGGGGCTTTCGGCGACGATCCGCGGATTTATCGTTATGAACCGCTGCTACTTTGTTATGGAGGCATAATGGCTTCATATACGAGCTCCCGCTGTGCGCCCGGCTTTACCGCAGAAATAATATGAATAAATGGTGCGCCCTGAAATATTCATAATTGACTAACTTGCTCCATATGCCAAGCTGGTGCCTAAATGTTTCCCTTAATGACATAATGAATATAGATGCTTGGCATGAGAAATGGAGAAATAATATGGTTGCTTGCCACGCGCCCGGCGCGGTATTAAATCCGCCAGATTTTTAGACGCCTTAACTTTTGTGTTGATCTCTGCACGGGATGGAGGTATTAATAAAGTTGACTGTTTACCAGCGGTTTGCATGCTAATTGGTAACCCTTTTGCATTTGAAACGATATGCCACATTTAGCCTGTTTCGGCATAATGTGAAAAGTTTACTAAACCCATGCTGGATACATTCGTCTGCAGCACGCCGAGCAAAGATTGGTTAAGCTTCGGCCCCGTGATCAGTGTTAGACAGATCACACTTTAAATGGAAATGTTTTATGTATTCCATTTGAATTTCGGTGTCCCATGCTATAAAGGGGGTCAATTTTATTGACATCAACCATTTTACCATTTTACCATGACCTTACCATTACGTGACAACGATTCAGATTTTGCGTCAACAGGGATGCGTCCTTTGTCCTATTTTTCATCTTATCGTCCTTCTCGTTTATTTCAAACGCACTGGACAAACATTTATGCGAGCATGAGGCTATTATCCTGCGAATTCAAAGAAGAGTTATGCTATGGCTTTGGTTTCTCCTTCATGGTGTTTACCACGCGCCTCTTTTCGAGGTGCGCTTCGTCTTTGGGAAGCATCACATGGTCGCAAGTGACAAACTGGTCCAAAGTGGCGCACAGTGATGCACTTCAACCAATGCGCTTCTCGGCAAAAGGCCCTTGCTACCCGCTGAGCCAAACACAAACGTTCTTTTATTCGCACCAGCAGAGATTCCACGGTGTTTGTTATACAACGGTGGTTGCGACATTTGCAGGAAGGAAGCGTGGTGTTGTTGCAAAGCGTTGACAGCGCAACTGAACTCGATGATAATCAAAGCTGAGATCCTTATTATGTCTTGACGGCGCTGCAGTGACACCACCCAGTGCAATTATCAGACGTAACTGGTTCTGAGGTTTTACTAGAGTATGCGTTTTTAAAAATATGTCCCAAAGGTGGGACACTCCCTCTAATTGCTGACCATGTCTACGGCTTACATCTGGAAGGGCCAGGAGTGAAATGACGGGTAGGACACTACCGCTTTCTATTTAACCAACTATTTTAAAGTCAGCATTTTGTTAATGAGGGGTCCACTCTTCGCAATGCGTCTCAGGCTTTGCAAATTTTCTAGACGTCTTAGCCCATCCTTGGCGACTTCGGACTTGGATCTGCCGCCTCTCCTCCGGAACACCTAACCATCTGGAGCCCATGGCCATGTTAGTCATACCAAGGTGGCATCACTATCATTCGCCTCAAGGTTGTCCTGGCCATTTTGGGCACATGGACTGTCTCCAGAACACCCTGGCCTCTGAAATATGTCGAAAATATTGTTAATCATTGCAAATGTTTCAGAATCTTTGCTGTTTTTGGACCGCTGATCGTTTCGAAACCCTCAATTCTGTCCGGTATTTGACGACTAGATAACCTTTGAACCGATGTAATCCACGCCCCATCTTTCCTAGCTTGGTCGTGTTCCTCCTGCTTGATTGATACCAAAGGCACACAGGGGCACAGCCAGAGCCTTGGCTGGGGGTGGCGTGGAGGGCACAGCGCTCAGAAAGTGCCACCTGGTGGTGAGAATGTCCCCCGAAATGAATTCCCCAAATTTAGCTCACTTGATTTCAAACTGGCATGGTTTTTTCGCTTAATTTTTAGTTTTAACTGTAGCTGAAGCAGAAGCCATGAAACACACGACAAGAAATAAGTCTGTTCGCCTTTTGAGGCCATAGACTAAAAGAAGTGGGCGTTTAATGACCTTAAAATAAGTGGATCGCCGGTGCGATGTGTTTTGCAGCGATTAAGTGGACTGTTTCTGAACCGATAGACCTCAGAGGCTTTATCATAGGTTGTCTCGGTTCTGCTGAGACATTGAGGACTTCGTGAACGTTGACTGTAGATCAAAATAGAGTTAACTGAGCAACTGAAGGAAGTTCCTCTGAACGCTCTATGAAATCAGTTCATGCGTTTAGAAGGCAGTCCTTGAGGATATTCACCCGTGCGATTTTTAGATTGATAACAGGGACGGGTTAGCATCTACAGCGCTGCGAAATAGTGCTGGAATCTGGTGTTGGATCTGAGAGGGCAACGGACGTATCTCTATTTTTTTGTGTCGCTATAACTGTTAATCTGTTCAGAGGACGACCTGAAAATTATCAAGGTGAAACGCACGCTCAGATCAAGTCTTTTAAACGGCATGAAATGCGACTCGAATTTGAAGGCTTTCGAAAGCATCATTTCACGACGGTTGTTCTCGCGAGTCCGCCGCCTGCTGCCTGTTTTATCTGCAGCGACCAACGCCGTCCGGTTTCATGGGAACTGCAAGCTGCCCAGCTGCTCTCGCCCCTAAGATCGGTTGCGCGCACAGTCAAAATTGTTTGGTTAGTTTGCCTCGCATGCCGATTTTGCCAAGGGATGGACGTTCATAGGCAAGCATAGGGTGGGCTTTTCTTGATTTTTGACTACCCTTTGATGCATTCTATCATATTCCAATGAAAAGCCTTACCTTTTCTGGCCAAGAGGCCCGTGGGTAAAACACAAGGGAACGTGTCTTCGTTCCCGGTGGATGTGTGAAGGGGCATTTCGCCAGCGTGGGATACCTATCGGCTGCCATTCCGGCGACACATAGGCATGGGTCCCCGATCGATCTGGAGGCCCTTGGGAGGAGGCATTATACATTAGTCACCCCCTGGCCCGCAGATGGTCAAATCATTGGCACATAGACTCCAGTTCGGCTCAACGGGCCCTCAATTAAAATGGGATCAAGTGCCCTGTTCCGTACTGGAAGCTTTCACTGCCGCAGGGCCCTCCATTGTCTCACCGCGCAGCCATCATAAGCTCTCACATTTCATTACATTTCCAGAGGGCTCAAACAACGTAAGAGGTCCTCTGACATTCGGGGTCCAGTCGCTGCCCGCGTTCAGCAAATGTTCCCCTGGCTCATGCGGGACCCCTAATCGACACAGGAACACCTGTCAGGCACTTTAGACCCGACCGACCAGGGGCCCCTCATTGCTTTAAGAACCCAGACCAATGCCACTCGCGGGTTCCGGTCTTCCTGCTGCTCGGGAAGTGGTCCGCGGAACCCAAAACAACGCGGAGCCAACTGCTCGGCGTCGGTACCCTCTGGCCGAAATAGGGGACTGCATTATCCCAGGTGGTTCTCAGTCGCTGGAGGAGGCTCCTGACTGACATATAAGGTCCCGGTCTACGCACCGGGAGTCTTAATGTGACCTGCAGTCAGTCGTTCGGGACCCTCAGCCCCTTAAGCCTTCCAATCTGACCCTCGCTCGTCAGTGTTCGAGGGGGCCTCTTCGGGCCCACCCGAACACTGTCTCTGGCCGACTCGTGACACCTTACCAACACGGAACCCTCTTGTAGGCACTGTGGGTCTCTCGACTGACACAGGGGCCCCTCATTAACCCGGGGAGCCCCGATCGATGCAAATTGCCGGCCCGGCCTTGTCCCTGCTTGGGAAATGGGCCCCCACGTCCAGACCGATACGGAGCGGACTGTCCGGTACTAGTGGTGTCTTACCGACATAGAGGCCGTCATCGGCTCAGGATGCCCCAGTCAGCGCAAAGGACCTCTGGCTGTCATTGGGGGAAGGGGGGGGGGGGGTCTGGCCTGCCGGACCGCGACCTCTATTACTACCTTCGGCCATCTCTTCGGGTCCTTCGGGCCCTCAAAGACCGTAATCGTCGGTCCTATGGGGCCTTTTGAGCCCCTCGTGAACTAAGGGGAGCACGCGCCTGTTGTGCCCCTCCCCCTGCCTGCACCACTTAAAGTACATAATGTGAGGTTTCCTCTCGTCACGTCAACAAATCTCAGGAGCTTATTTTAGCAGAACTATTAGCAGAGCTTGTTAACACTTTATTTATCCTCCCCGCCCCGGATATCCAGATAACTTCAAAACGCCGCGGCAGCGACAAAAGTGGTGAATTCTATTCGTGTTTTGTTTGGGGCGTTCTACGTAATCCGTACATGATCGACCGAGAGGCGGCATATGTCCATAGTTGGAGTTATCGTGAACAGTGGAAGTAGTGCTAATTAAAAGTGTTACAAAATGCTGCGAGCATAATATCGCCAACCATGAACTACGGTACTGTGAAGCATTGAGTTTTGAAGTAAACTAGCTCAGTCATACGCATCAAGTCGTCATTTCAGGCGGGATTATGCTGGAGTGAAACTCTAATTTCTTTTGCATTGCTTCCGACCACAGACGAGTTGTACTAATTTAGATGCTTCTAAAATGCTGGAAATAATGGCATGCATAGTTTGAGTAGCAAAAATGTATTTGTGGGTCATATTTTTCGTCACTATGATTTTAGAATTATTGTGCTACCATACATGGCCACTTACAAACTGTGTACAAACCCAAACCTTGCAATGTATTGATTTTCTTGCCTTTCAACTTCTAATATTAACTCCATCATTGATCAAGCTAGTTTGCAGCTTTTTTCCAAACAAAATTGATAAGGCTTGTGCTTAATGTCAATCACATTTCTTGCCAAGCTTCAGTTATCACTTAGGCTTACACCAGTGCTGTGCTTTCACACCTGGCTTTTACATCCTATGAGGTAGCACAAGGGAAATATGACTGCATTCTGGTGTTGTCAATCTTGTTTGTTAAATAAGTTTTGTGCAATTAGTTTGTCATTGTATTACAGGTCCAGCTGCAATGGCAAACACCGTAGATGGAGAGCGGAACTTCTTTGCGAAGGCCACACAACACTTGGCCAGGGCACTAGCAGGGCAGAAGAATGCTAAGATGGATAAGGTATGGAGTGAATGATTTGATTTGTAGGATGTGTAGACTGGGAGAGGTCATGCAGGAAGTTATGGAGTTGGCTGCATGCCATCTGAAAGAACAGCATGCATGCTTCAATGTCCAGCTCAAAGAACAACATGCATGCTTCACAGCTTTTAGCATGGATGCATACATTATATTTACCAGACTCCCAAATAGTGGTGTTTATAGTGGGCCATGTAGTGGCCTAGTGCACTATGACACCAGAACGGTGTGTCATGCCATTCAGGTTTTACTTCTAGTCTCCCAGTACAGCAGAGTATGATGACAGGTCCAGACTACTGGCAGAGAAGTCCACAGTGGCATGGAGCTTGTCTCTGTATGGATCCTGCTGCAGCAAGAACCCTTTCAGGTGCACTACGAGGATGTACGGGAACCTGTAAATCATGGAGTTCTTGGAGCACTGGTGCTTGATGCCTCTGGCACATGGAGCATGATGGCTTTTTTTCTCTGTCAAGCACATTTTCCTTGGTAAAAAGGTTCAAGCAGTCCTGCAATTGTACCTGGCCCGTTATGCACGGGATTGGCAGGCTCAGGTCTCAGACCAGGTCAAATGTCACGGATGCATGGCCGCACACCATGTTTCGCAACGCGGACTTGAGCTGTCCGATAAGCAGGCCAACTAACTTTTGTTTTTGAGTTTTTCATGGACCGGAAGCGTTTCCAGGCCTCAAGCAGTTTCTGGCTAGCGCTGAGGCTGTCATCGATGAGGGCGGTTGTGGCTTGGGTTGGTTGTTGACTCGATTTACGTCTTCGTACAAACCCTCCAGCAGGTATCTGGGGAACTCTCGTGCGTCCTGTCGCTGATGGCTTAGAATCGGGCCGTGAACTACTGTAACTGTATCTTCAACAAAGAGGTGGTCAGCACCTGGCCGCTATCATCTGAGGTCTTCCATAGGCCCCACATTAGCATGGCAAATACCCTTATGAGAGCATCCTTCATGGTGAAGCTGGTCGTGTTGATGTCTCGAGCACTCGCTTCGTAGAATGTAGTCACGCAGGGCGCGGGTGTTGCTTAGGCATTGCAACACCGCATTCATGAAGCACATAGTGCTGATACTCCGGAATTCCGTGAAGCCGAACGCCCGTGTCACGGTCCGCGCCCTACCGCCTTCTTCTCCCGAGCTTATGATCCCCGGGCAGCTGGACGGGGAGGCGGCCGGCCTGGGCAGGTGACCGGGCAGAGCTGCCCCCGGTTCCACCGTTCAGCACGCGCCCGCTCGGCTTGTTGCTTTCCCTTCCGCTCGTTCCAGGTGCTTCTCAGTGGCTCAGTCAAACGAATGCGTGAGCGGAGTAGCGCTGGTATGATTGCTGTAGTTTGTGTGCTTACCAGCTCATAACTGATGCTTTTTGTCCATTTCTTCTCAACAATTGTTATTCAAATGTCATGCACTGTCATGCCATGTACACAGCCATATTGGCATGCTCCAGACATGACACGTTGGCGCATAATTGCTCTGCACGTGGGGATTGAGTAGCCATACGATGGCCATGTCTGTCAGTGCAAAGCTCCTTTGTAGAGATTAAGCAAAGAGTGAAACACCTGGGCCTTGTATGCTCTGTGCCTTGCAGTAGTGATTGGCCAGGCATTTAAAGGTGGCATGTGTATGCTCTTCCTTGTTATAGTTGCTGACCAGACAGTGGCACAGCCCAGGCATGCTTGTGCATGCTGTGCTGTGCCCTGCGGTAATGACTGACCAGACAGTGGCAAAGACCAAGTCTGCTCGTGTCCACTATGTCGTGCTGCGGCGACGAACTTAGCAGCGACACAGCCAGGGCCATCCTCTGCACTCTGTGACATGTCGGTGTACCTTGCTGGTCAGGTGGCGCGCCTCATCAGCCTGCTGCCGACGGTGCCGGCCGAGGGCCCGTTCCAAGTGGGCCGACGCGGCCAGGAGGCCGTCTGGGCGCTGGCCATCTTCCTGCTTGAGTCGCGCCTGCAGCACCTGGACGTCATCTTGCCGCGCCTGCTCGAGCTGCTCAGCGCCCTGCCGCGTGCCACGCGCTTCGAGGACTTCCGCATCCACCTCTCTGACCGTGAGCACCGGGTTCACCGCGTCACTGCCATTACACAAGGTCACCGTCACGGCTGTGTGTGAGGTTTATAAAGGTCATATTACAACGGCTCGCGTGGGTTTATAGCAGACACTGTGTATTTCTCCTTTGCTGCTCCATATGACTGAAATAAGCTGTCTCTGAGCAGAAGTTATGCTGCCTTGTCTTGTGAGTGCAACTCAAGAATATAAGGCACAGTGGCTCTGAACCATTCACAAACTGTGTGCTCATCTCGGATGCTAGTCTTGAAATTGGTATCATTCCATGGATCAGTGGTCCCACCGAATGCCGTCGTTGCGTCGTGGCTGACGGCCGGCGTCGCGTGCACCGCCAGGGCACCCTTCCAGCGAGCGGTTCGCGTTCTGCCTGGCCACGGCGCTGTCGGACGTGGCGGCGCAGCGGCCCGACAAGCGCTCGGCCATCCTGGCCGCCCAGGTGCGCGTGTTCGCCGACTTGGTGGGCGCGGTGCGCGCGCGCCGCGACAGCCCCGACATCGGCCCCATGTCCGCCAGAGGTGAGCAGATGTCGCCTGCGGTAGTACGGAACACGCGAGGGAACCTAACCTAACCTTACCCATCCCAAGCCAACCTTACGTAACCTTACGCCCTAAACTAACTTAGCCCAGCCTAGCCCAGCCTAGCCTAGCCTAGCCTAGCCTAACTTAACTTAACTTAACTTAACTTAACTTAACTTAACTTAACTTAACTTAAGCTAACCTAACCTAACCTGCCCTAACCTAGCATGTGGTGTGAGTAATGTGGGATGGCATTAGCATCAAACCAAATCGAGCCAAAGAGGACCTTTCGCCTCCACGGTCTACGCAAGAAAACTATAACCGAAACGCTAGGGGGCTGGCGAGAATACCATTTGATCTCGCCCACGCCCACGGGGTGTTTTAACGGTGACCTATTTCCACCGGCTCTCCACGACTCCCGTCCCCTCCCCCCCCCCCCCCCCAAGTGCTACAGTTGTACCGCTGAACTAGTAGCGAGTGTAGCACGTCTGGACTGCTTGCGCGTCGCCGCCACAACGTCCCATTGCCGTCTGTTACGGCGCCAACTGCGTGTGTCCTCAGTGCAGCTGTGCGCGACGACGGTGCCGCTGCTGATCGGCCTGGCGCGCGCCATCGGCCGCTCGTCGGTGCAGGAGCCGCCGCTCTTCTTGCGTATCTTCCCGCGCCCGGTGCCGCCGCCGGCAGCGCCGGCGCCGCCGCCCGTCGACAGCCGGCCGGCCAAGCGCTCCTTCAGCAACTTCCGCTCCATCATCCCACGTTCCATGAGCAGCAACTTCCCGTCGGGCACCGACCTCAGCGTGGTGGACACGTCGCGCCCGTCGGGACGCGACCCCCGGTGAGGGCGGGGCTCGGCTCAGGGAGGCCGCTCGGCGGTCTGGCGGCGACGCTGCGCGTCGAGCCGGCTGCGGGCGTGATGTCCGAGAGCGGGCTGGCTTGGCTGTCGCTCAGGGCAGCGGCCGCTATAGATGTTGCAGTCGTCGACATGACGGTGCTTTTGTGACCACTTGGCCTACGCTGATGTCACCTTGTGAGGCGCACTTCCTGGCTCGTCCAGTACGTCAGATCACTGACCCGCCTGGCCACGACGTTTGACTGCCAGCATGTCCTGTCAGGGGACGACAGCCTCCGCTGACGGCTGATGCTGCTCTGTGTCTGTGAAGATGTGCGTGAGAGCTGGGCTGAGTGCTGCGCCTCCGCCGCAGTTCCCGGCCGCCGATGCTGGCCACACAACCGTCGGTGCCGCTGGACCCGCAGTACCAATACTTCTGCAAGTTCGGCTCCAGCTTTCAGCCGAGCCAGCCGGCCGTGGCCGGGCAGCGCGAGTGCAAGAACCCGCTCGTGTTCTCCGTGCAGCAGCTGGAGGTGCGGTCGGCCTCGTCCCTCCTGTCAGCGGGGCGGGACAGACGCTGCGTCGGACCTCGTCCGACATCGCTTTATTAAGCTATCGCACGGGCCGCCCCTCCTGTCAGCGGGGCCGGACATACACTGCGCCGGACCTTGTCCGACATAGCTTCATTGAGCTCTGTCGGTCGCTGCTAATTGAGCTCTGTCGGTCGCTGCTAAACCCTCTTAATCCGTACGCAAAGCCTCACTCACGGCTGTGGCTGTCGAGGACCTGGTTGTGGTCTTGTGGTCTGTGGTCTGCGGTCTGTGGCCCATCTGGCTTGCGGTTGCCCAAAACGCATGCGACCGCAGTGCGCGGTTTTCTGCTGCGCTTTTTTGAACAAATGGCTTTGAGGAGGGTTGCTTCATGCTCCCGCAAATTGTGTGTTCCAAACCATTAGACAAGGGTAACCAACCGTGATTACAGGCAGCCCGGAAAAGTCGTTAGTGTACTTGAGACTATTATATGCATGGTCCTTGCTATAAGTGGCATTTGGCATAAGTGGAAAGCGTGTCTCTAGTGACCCACTTAAATGGTTAAGCCCGCAATGTCAGTATAGTAGCACGACGCAGGTTGTGACAGCGGTAGTGCAAGCGGAATTCCGGACCCTAAAGATGGCAGTTACGTTTAGCACTGACTGTGAGACACCGAAGAGCCGCCATGACCAGGGTGATTGATTGTCTTGAGGTGGTGACATGGCTCGCTGGAGCTCGTTGTCTTCCTCCTGTCCTCACTGGCTTGTGACAAGCGCTCTTTGTTTGTTACGGGCTCGCTAGAGCCGGATATGTTCCCTCCACAGGAAGTGCTCAGCCTGGCCAAGTACCTGCTGGTGAAGGACGTGCTGACCTTCCTAGATGACCAAGCGACCGACGTCTTCTCGTCGGAGCCGAACGCCATTTTCCCCTACCAGACGTTCAACGAGATCCTGAACCTGACGATCGCCGCCCTGTTGAGGGAGCTGCTGCAGCATCAGACGGGTGAGGCGTCGCCGGCAGCCGCTCCCGCCCCGTGCCGACCGGCCGACCGGCTGACCGGCCCCGCTTCGTCCCGGCCGGCCGACCGGCCCCGGCCCCGGCCCCGGCCCCGGCCCCGGCCCCGGCCCCGGCCCCGGCCCCGGCCCCGGCCCCGGCCCCGGCCCCGGCCCCGGCCCCGGCCCCGGCCCCGGCCCCGGCCCCGGCCCCGGCCCCGGCCCCGGCCCCGGCCCCGGCCCCAACCCCGGCCCCAGCCCGTCCGGACCGACCCCGGTCTGTCCTCACTCCGACCGGCAAAGAGGCGTTGGGTCATGTTTTGTGTTCACATCTCTATTATAAAGCCAGATGGAAGACAATTTGGATGTACAGGTTTGTTTAACAGATTTGCTTGCCCCATGCAATGGTTAGCCCTCCGAAGAGGGGAGGAACAAGCAATGAACCTTTGCTACGGCAGCTTTTTCAGGATTATGCATGGTTTTGTAAAGATAAGATGCCTCAGCGGTATTTTGCAGGCACGCCGAGCACAATCGTCCCGAAGGTTCGCTGACGAACGTGGCACTGTCCGCGTGCACGTCAAAAGCTGTGTTAAGCGGAAGCCCTGAACTCATCATCACTCGAGCGAACGTGTCCTGCAACTGAATGTATGCAAGACAAAAACAAAGGGCGTACTTTTTTACTTCTTTCCATAATGCTTTGTTTCGAGAGTGGTCGTGGCGGTGAGAAGAGGGAGGTCTCGTTTAGCGGTATGGTTAGAAAAGCCATACTTACCGGCAAGTCGACTTACTTGTTCCTTTGTCATCGGCTTCGGATGTTAAGTTGGACTGCCTGTGAGAAGTTCAATAGGGGTGGTTCACAGCCGGGTCCTAAAGCATGTAATTGTCAAGGTCGAGGGGGGGGGGGGCCTGTCGCCGGACTCTGCGGCTCCTGTGTCCGTACAGACAATTAGTCAGGTCATGCGATAGGTTTGAAGACGTGCTCGGCTGCTTGTGCTTGTTACATTGTGATTTCACCGTTTCGATTTTAACCTGTAATCTGCCTGCGTGGCGGTAAAATGATACTCACTTCGAGCTTATGTCTGCCACGTTTCATTGTTGCTAACTCTGATTAGTTCTTGTGATTTTGTTTTTCGTTCACGATCCGCCGTTTAATTATGAGATATAGAACTGGCCTGGTTTCAAACGATGCTCTGTTGATGGTTCGTGTTCTAACGGTTTTTTTCTGTCGTAATTTGAGCTGACATTTGTTTCTGAAAGGTGGCATGCTCCACGCAAATTGCCATACCTCAGACGAGCGAAGTAGCTGCTTCAGAAAAGTGAGGCCGTTCGTCGACACAGTTACATCTGTCTGACCGCCTTGTGTCACACGCGCGCGTCGGTGTACCTGTGTTTCAGACCTGCCGGCGCCGTTCACCCGCGACGTGCAGGAGTTCATCAAGGGCCTGTTCCTGTCGGGCCAGACGGAGCTGCAGAGCCGGCAGCAGGACGAGGCCGAGGCCGCCGACCGTCGACACAACTTCCAGGCCGTCAACAAGTACAAGCTCAACGTCCAGGCGAACGCCGCCTGCGTCGAGCTGCTGGTCTGGGCCGTCAAGGACGAGGCTGGTACGCCGCCCCGACTCTGCGTCCAGAGTGACCTTCGTCAGGCGACCCCCCCCCCCCCTAGAGTTGCACACTCCCCGGGGCGTTCCCTTTTTCAAAGCGCCGATCCGCGGCCTCTGTGACGCTTTTCTCCATGACCCTCCACCCCACAAGGCTCCATTCATCAAGAAGCTGTCTCCCCAGGGATCACTTTGCTAGTTGGTTTTCTCAGTAGGGCGCTGTGCTTGAGCACCCCTCTTTCAGGGCATCGCTGTGCAGGTGGACCTTTCACGGGTAGATCTGCTCCAGAGTAGCTCTCTGGGGATAGGGCCTTCTCAGGGTACCCAGTCCGTGGGTACCGGTCTCGGAGCGCTCCTTCTCCCAGTGCGTGCCTCTCCCATGACGTCTCCCCCAAGACGCCCCTGGCACTCCTCTGCGGGGCGCCCGTCTCCCAGGATGGCCCTCTCCCTGGACGTCGCTCTTCCAAGACTCCCCTCTCCAAAGAAGGCCTTCTCTCAGGATGCCACTCTCCCATGGCGTCTTTCTTCCATGATGCTCCTCTCCCACAACGCCCCTCTCCCAGGATGTTACTCTCCCATGACGCCCATCTCCCAGGACGCCACTACCAGGACGCCCCTGACACCCCTCTCCCAGGGCCACTCCTCTTCCGGTAGGTCCCTCCCCAGGTCGCCCTCTCTCAAGGCGCCCCCTGCATTGCTCGCGGGCCGAGACCCGGCCGCGTGCCATGGTGTGCCGATGTGCCTCATGGCCGTGCGAACTCGTCTGCTGGTGGACACAGTCTGCAGTGTATTTCGCGCAATCTCGGAACGGATCCGGCCGCACCTACACCTGCTTAAGATAGGGCCCAGGGAAAATGACCAGGTGACAACGCTCGGGGAGAGTACCTAGCGATAGGGCTTATTGAATTAATGATGCATGCGTACTTTCTAGGTTTAATTTGCGGGGGTTGGGTGGTCATGCTGGGTTAGAAATGTCTTATATGCATCATTAATGTGTTAAGATATTGTCCACGCGAGGTGTTTCGATGGTTGCAATCCAGCAACGATGTTAGGATTTAGCTACCGTAAGACAACAGGATTGCTGTCAGGATGACACCCAGGGTCATTTCTAAGGCATTTGTGCTCTTCCCCCCTTCAATTCAGTGGTGCTAGTGAACATCAGTCAGAAATGTAAATAGTATCATAAGCATTGTCCTTGGATCATTTTTGTGCTTGCGTACAGCGTTGGAGAATCCCCGTGGGTGATGAGATCCCCCTTCCAGCCCTTATGAAGGTGAGCTTCTTGCCAGATGGGGGGATACACCTGCAGTGCCGGTATTAATATACGGCTCTGGCCCTGCCAGGGGCGGACAGCTTGTGCAGCCGGCTGACGGAGAAGCTGACCTCGGGTCACGGCCACCGGATGGTGCTGGCCCACATGCCGCTGCTGCTGGTCTGTCTGCAGGTGGGTCTCGGCACTCGACTAACGGGCTCGCAGTCTCCGGCACCCCTGTACCCCTAAATCGGGGCATTCTCGCTGTCCTGCCAGCGACAAGGCCTAGATTTATTTGATCTCATAAACAGAGATCAAGTCCCAGGCTTAGAACAGATGAGTGAATGGTGGGGGACACCAGTCGGGGGAGGGGGAGCGGGCGGGTAGCAGGAGCCCAGATTTGCCTTCTGTTTGTCGCGTTTAGGCTCTCGCTGGTACCTTGTCGTTGGTGTCGGCTGCGTCTCCGCTAACGTTGAGCCCGTCACTCCGCCCAGGGCCTCGGCGAGCTGGCGCAGCGGTTCCCAGCGATCGCCTCCAGCTGTATCCGCTGCCTGCGAGACTTCCTGGTGCTGCCGTCGCCGATCCTGACCCGGCTGCATCGGCAGCAGAGTGACGTCATCACGCCATCGGGCCAGAGCATCACGCTGACAGGTGGGACCTCAGGACTGGGGGCGTCACTGGCCCGGCGGGTGGGACCCCAGACCCGGGAGTATCGCTGGCCCGGCGGGTGGGACCCCGGAGCTGAGGGCGTCACTGGCCCCTCGGGTCGGGCCCCAAAGCCGGGAGCGTCACTGGCCCGGCGAGTGAAACCCCAGAGCCGGGGGCGTCACTCGCCCCTAACGTTTGGGATGCCGGAGCCGGGGGCGCCACTCGCCCGGCATGAGACGCTGCGTGCAGCCAGACCAGCATACCGGCGTGCGATGCTCGCCACCCCACAGAACCAGAGCCTCGTGCTGGCAAGCGGGACTTTGCACCGTGTGGAGTCTGAACACCACGCGGCAAGTCGGGACCCCGGGCCGGGATGGAAATCGGCGCCGAAGCAATTGCAGCATCCTTGCTGGTGCCGATATCCACTTAAAGTTGTAGGGTGCTTGCAGCGAACAATACTTATCAGCGGTGAAAATCCACACTCTTGACACGCGTATGGTTTTGCTAGGAAGATTAGGCCTATTGCTCAATAGATGAGGTATCAGCCATCAGGCATCTTCAAGTGTCAGGTATCATTTTGGTATCCCTTTTTTCCGCGCCACCTTTTTATAAGATAAAGAAGGCTAAAGCTGCACTACAAACAGTGGATGCAGCAGTGGTAAGTGTGGTTCCGTGCATTATAAGCCAGAACGAACTGAGTTTTTTTAGCTCTTTCTGAATTAGTTACTTAGTTGTTAAGGTTAAAGGACGCTTCAGCTGCCTTGGTTATTTGCGCCCTCGCTTTCTGAATACTGGCATCACTTTCCATCTAGCTAAAAGCCGATTTCAGGCCTGTCCTGGGCCGGCCTCTGACCACCCCCTGCCCGGTGCCGTCAGTGACGGACACGACGGCGGCGGCACGGGCCGGCCGCAGCTCCGACTCTGCCCTGGGGCAGCTGCGAGACGCCGCCATCGAGAACCTCTGCGTGGCGCTGAAGGCGGGCCACACGTACGACGAGGTCACCATCAAGGCGTTCGTGGCGTCCGTCTCTAACCGGCTCTTCACCGCCACGCACCGCACGAAGTAGGTTGGGTGGCGCCCGGAGCCGGGAGGGGGGGGGGGGGGGGGCGTGCTGGCCCGGTGTGGACACGTGAGCCAGAGGCTCGGCGGCCCAGGTCTCACTGGTGTTGCGGTATATCACGGACACTGTACGTCGGCGTTGTGGTTTAATCGTGCATTGGCTCGTTTTAATTGTTGTCATGATGCCCTGCTCGTTTCGGCTACGCGTGCGGGTCATCGGCCGCGTTGTGTTTCAGTTGGTTTTACTGCCATCTGGTCCTCTGCCTCTGTATCCGTCTTTCACTCAGCGTTGGTAGGGGATGATTCCTAACGTTCGACCCCCCCCCCCCCCCCGGACACACTCCGCCATTTCCTTCATGCCAGCTTTAGAATCCTGCCTCCGAGTTCTGGATTCCCTTTTCGTCATCTTTCACATCACCTTTCTTTAACTTTATCCGTTCTTCGTTGCCTTTTTGTTCCCGTCTGCATCCCATCGTTGCTGTCTGCCGTTTCCGATCACTGACCCGGTTCACCGGCCGCGTACCGTTTCAGCGACTACAACCTGATCACGTACAACCTGATCATGGCGCTGGGCCATGTGGCTGTGGCGCTCAAGGACACGCCTGACACCACCTACTCGATCCTGCAGTTCTTCATGCAGATCTTCTGCCGCCGACCCAGTGAGGTGGACGTGCTGATCGTCGACCAGATGGGCTGCATGGTGCTCGCTCGGAGCGAGGTGAGACGTGCTGGCCTCGGTGGAGGCGTGGGGGAGGGGAGGGGAGGGGGTGCACCAAGCCCACAGGCTGGGTCGCAACTGACCAGTCTGTGAATAGTACGCACTCGTCTCGTCTTTCCGTGGTGTATCATAGCTCCGTCGTTTGTCCCAATACCACACAATTGGGACACTGTCGTCGCTTCTTCAGAATCCATAGCGATTTTGTTGGTCATAGTTGTATTGCAATTTGAAATTGACGATCGATAGCAGGGGATTTGTTGTCCTATCACGTGACCGCGTGTTGCGATCAATTATCTGAAGAATGCCTGTGTTCTCAGCCGCGCGTCTATGGAGGAATGGCGAAGATGTCTGGTTCGCCACCACATGACATCTGTCAAACGACCCGGTGCCGCTTCTGGCTTTTGACGGCTGTGGGTCGTATTTTCAGCCGCGTGTGTACGAAGAGGTGATGAAGGTGTTCACCTTGATCACGGTGGAGTCGAGCAGCACAGCGTATTCAGATCAGTCAACCGGCGATGACCGCGGCAAAGACTACAGGTTAGACGCTGACACCCGCCAAGGTCAGACGCTGACACCCACCATGGTCAAACACTGACACCGCCGAGATCGGATGCTGGCACCCGCCGAGGTCAGGCACTGACACCCGCCCAGGTCAGGACACTGACACCGCCGAGGTCAGATACTGACACCCCCGGAGGTCTGGCACTGACGCCCGCCGAAGTCAGGCACTGACACCCGCCGAGGTCAGGCGCTGACACCCGCCGAAGTCAGGGACTGACACCCGCCGAGGTCAGACGCTGACACCCACCAAGGTCAAACACTGACACCGCCGAGATCGGATGCTGACACCCGCCGGGGTCAAGCACTGACACCCGCCCAGGTCAGGCACTGACATCCGCCGAGGTCAGATACTGACACCCGCCCAGGTCAGACGCTGGCACCCGCCCAGGTCAGATACTGACGCCCCAGAGGTCAGACGCTGGCGCCCGCCGAGGTCAGACACTGACACCCGCCGAGGTCAGGCACTGACAGCCGCCGAGGCCGGGCACTGACACCCGCCCAGGTCAGACACTGACACCGCCGAGGTCGGGCACTGACCCCGCCTAGGTCAGATACTGAGGCCCCCAGAGGTCAGACGCTGACACCCTCCGAGGTCAAGCACTGACACCCGCCGAGGTCAGGCGCTGACACCCGCCGAAGTCAGGGACTGATACCTGCCGAGGTTAGACACTGACACCCACCGAGGTCAGGCCCTGACTCCAGTTCACGACTGCCATCAGACGCTGACACCAACCCAGATTTTAGCGAAAGTTTCGAGGAGGGACGAAAATCATGCTTCGGGTTTGTTGCAAGCGTAACTGAAAAATTATGTCGTGTTGTTTCCAGCATCAAGTTAAAGTTCTTGGAAACACTGACCATTGCAAAACAACTTTTCATCGTATGAAGTTTTACCTTCCGAGCCCTGGGCGAAAAGGTCGTAACGTTCAGATACTCGGCGAATGCATCCTTTACACTATGCATGCTGTTCTAACCGAAATATCCAGTTCTGTTTCCAATCCACCAGGTGCTTCGTCTTTTCAAGGCTCACGCGTCCATGCATGGACTTAGCTAATTTGCCCCCCCCCCCCCCCGCCGGCGCTGGAGTGGCGCGGGACACCCGGTGCTCAGATAGTGCACAGCTCGTCGCCCAGAAGTTCGACGCTCTTTAACGTGGCCTTCCGGGTGACGTCGACGAACGTGATGAGGAAGAAGAGCGTAGTCGGTGCTGCCTTGCTCGTGGTGGCCGTCCCACGGATTGTTGCTGATGACGTACGTCTGGTTGTCGGAAGTCGTCGTCACGGACGCCCACGTCTCCAAGTTGGCCAGAGGCTCGTCGAACTTGAGCGTCGCCTGGAACGATTCCACCGTCTTGGGGAACGTCAGGTGCACGTCCATGCTGAAGCCCAGGTCCCAGTGTTCGATGATCACCTCTGTGCAGCTGCGGATGCAGTCCGGGTCGCTGGGTCCGCCGCACTGTTTGGCGCCTCCGACGGCGGCGAGCAGCGCCAGCAGCGACAGGCAGCGGAGCATGGCGGACGGTGGCGCGGGACAGGGGTGTGGGGCGGCGCCCCCCCATCACCCGCTTATGTACGCGGCTGGCGCTGGGAGCGGCGGCGGCGGCCGTTCCACGCGACGCGCCGCGACTGCCTGAGACGGCGCCGGCTGGCGCGTCTGGCTGTGGACACATGGCAGCGGACACACAGATAGTGGACACGTTTGGAAATGAATCGCATTGAGTCCCAGTTGCAAGCTCTGCGTGATCACACGCGAGGCCGCGAGCCGCATGAGGTTTAGTTGCACTGTACTTTGGTACGATGTTTTTACTTAAGGTTGTAACATGAGCATCCCGACCCGCGCCAGTCGCCACGCTGTGTAGAAAATGATGTATCTGGAGCCATTTGTGACAGGTGCATTCAGTTTCCAGGGACAAAGAGCCCCAATCTTGACAGCTGTTTTCTGCGAATGGTTGATGCTTGGATGCGCACTGTCTGGGCGGGCAGCTTTTTTGCAACCTTGCAGTATCACTACGTTTTCATCGCCGCCGTTACACTGACCTAGAAAAGACCAAATTTTTTAATTGCGCGTGGAAGTCGTCCAAACGTCCAAAAAGTGTAGACTGTTTCGCGCTCTCGTACGGGTGCCGTGAATCCACCCGTTCTAGGATTTTTTAAGGGATTTGTTTCAGAGCGCAGCGATAAGAATAAGGAAAAACGTGAAACCAGCCTCGCAGCGTAGGCAGACAAGGGGTTGCAGCTCAAAACTGTCAGGTCCGTGGGGTGGGCAATCATTGACCGGAAAGTGGCCAATGCTACCTTTTCCGAAACAGAGCTGGAATACAAGACGCTATGGTCAGAACATTGAGAGGTTTGGTGGTGCAAACTTAACCGACGTACAGCCTTGTTTGTTATAGACAATAGCCGCCCAACATATTTGCGTTGTATTTTTGCAATACGTGTGCCACATTGGCAATTGCTGCAATCATGGCATGGCATCAGTGAGGAAATTGAGAGATGGCAAAAACCGAATTACAACGGATTGATGAAATGGTATCGGTCACGAAAATTGCAATGACTGATAGACTTAACAATGGATTAACGAAGGCTGTTGGTGTCGGTTATCAAAGGTGTCACCGTCTCGGCTTCGGCGCCATCTATCCATAACAGCTGGCGCCTTTCTCACGTGTTATGGTCTCGCTCGCCCCACGCCGCACCTTTCTGGTCGGTCTCATGACGCGGTGGTGAATCACGGCACTAATTGGGCTCCGGCCCGATGGTGAGGAGTCGCGGTGTGACGTCGGATCTGGCGTCACGGTCTGCGGTGTTTGTGCCGGTGCTGTGACGGCGTATACTCGGGCGTGTTACGGCGCTTACTACGAGGGTTCTCGGACCGGCCGTCCACTGTGTGTTCTGGGCGTCGGTGTTGTATTTGTACATGGCGTGGGTTCAAACCCAGGGTTAGCATCTGGTGCCTTTTCATCGACGGCGAGAGGGGTACGGAAGTTTCGTTTCCTGTGCCTTCGCACACTTTCGGCACCGAACGTCATCATTTGCTCATACCATCATCGCCCATACGCATGGAAGTAAAGCCATTGAAGCTGGCTCTGTGCCAACTCAGCTTCTAACGTGTCTTCAAGCGGCACACTTCGCTCGCCGCTGTCTCGCGATGACGTCACTAGTTCTAGTGGTCGGCTGGTGAGCTCTGGGAGTGCTTCACAGTTAACTTTACTGTTGAAACGGTGTATTTGGATTACTGTGCATTCTGTGCAGTGAGCAGCCTCCCGTCATGCTCTTTTCTCAGACGGTTAAGAGCGTTTTCGGCAGACGTTTCTTTGATCAATAGAGAAACTCGGTCAAAAACTCTGGTATCGCCTCTCGATCGCAGCGTTTTACACACATGTGGCGCATTTGCACCAATTTATGCCACATCAATGTGTTCGTCTCCTTGTATGGTTTATTTACACTCCTGTTCATTTAAACACGCGTACTGTGCTCCACGTTTCCCCCGCGAAGAGCATCGCTGGCGGACCGTGCCCAGCGCGGCCATCGAGTTTTATCTAATATGCAGCGGTATCCGGGTCCAGTGTGCATCAGCCGTAAGTCTGCTTCCACATTCGCTGCGATACAGCGTGCTGCTCCTTCGGCCCACCGTCCGCCTGCCGCGAGCGCCGCTGTCCGGCGAACGCTCGCGGCGCCGTGCTCGCCCGCTCCGAGCGTCGCCGCCGCCGCCGCTGCCGCTGCCGCTGCCGCTGCCGCCGCCGCCTCCGCCGCCGGATCACGGCATCACGCACTGCTCCTGGCCGTTCAGTTTGATGCTCTGCACCTGCGGCTCGTTCTTGCCCTCATAGTGGGCGTTGAAGCTGATCGTGAGCGTGTAGTTGGCGTTGTGGTGGCCGTCCCACGGGTTGTTGGACAGTGTGAACGTCATCTGGTCGGTACTCGTGCTGGGGCACGCCCAGGTCTGGAAGCTCTGCAGCGGGTGGTCGAACGCGACGTCCGCCTCCCACGTGTCGGCGGTGGTGGCGAAGTGCAGGTGCAAGTCGCCAGAGAAGCCCTGGTCCCAGTCGTTGACGCGCGAGAAGGCGCAGCTGCGCACGCAGAGCGGGTCGGCGGCAGTGCCGCACGTGTCGGCCGTGGCGCGGGCCGACGCCGCCGCCAGCAGGAGAACGGCGTACGCACGAACGGCACGCATGGCGCTCCACTGGCGCGCTGCGCTGTCCGCCGCCTTTTTGAAGACTGCGGCACGCACGCGCGTGAGAGGCGGCAGGTGGGGTGTGAGGCCGGCTCGGAACGGCCGCCAGATAGCGGCCGGTGGAGGTCACGGCGCGCCGCCGCAGGCCATCACCCGCTGACGCACGGGCGTGTCGGCCGAGCGCTGCGGCCACATCCGGTGGCGAGGTCCGTTTAAGTCCACGAAGGGCGTTTAAAAAAGCTTCCCATCAATGCGTAACTCCGACCTTCCACTCCCGTTTGCCGGCTAGTCAACTACCGTGCTGTTGATTGGCCCGGACACTGGAAGGATGACTATCGACCAGTTTTGCGCGTTTTATCTTCATGGTTTAGATTCCATGATCTCCCCGGTATTCAGTCACTTGCGGAGATATTGTGCCGTATGGTTCTCTTTTCGCTGCTCGTAAAGTTACGGAGCCGGATGGAGGTATCGTTATCAGCTGGCCACGCGTTGCCCGCCAATGTCCTGACCTCCCAGATTTGCTCCATGGTCGTCATTGGCCGTGATGTGTGCATCTGTGTTCTCCAACCGCTGGAACCATGATACGGACGCCGCAGACACCGATCTGCCCTGGTACCATCAGCCCCGTCTCTTAGCCGTTGGCGCGTGTGATGACCTGACCTCAACGTGTCTCCCAGCCACTCACCCGCGATATGACCTGAGCTCAGACACGTCTTCCAGCCACTCACACGTATGATGACCTGAGCCACTTTTTGTGTGATGACCTGACCCTAGATCTCTCTTAGGTTAGACGCATCTCCCAACCGTTCGCCCGTGTGATGAATGACCTCAGACGCGTCTCAGCCACTCTTTCGTGTGATGACCTGACCACATACATCTCCCAGCCACTCACCCGCGACATGACCTGAGCTCAGACACATATCCCAGCCACTCACACGTGTGGTGATCTCAGACGCGTCTCCCAGCCACTCTTCCGTGTGATGACCTGACCTTGGCGCGTCTCTCAACCGCTCGCGTGTGTGATGACCTGACCTCAGACACGTCTCTCAGCCACTCACCCGTGCGATGACCTCAGACGCGTCTCCCAGCCACTCACCCGTGTAATGGCCTGACCTTAGACACGTCTTCAAGCCACTCGCCGGTGTGATGACTCGACCTCGGACACGTCTCTTAGTCACTGACCGGCGCAGTGTCCTGAACTGCGCTGCTTGCTCCCAGGCACGTCTCCCAGCCGGTGATCAACGCGCTGGCCAACATCGCGGCCCAGCTGCAGGGTGAGGCTGAGCTGCACGACCTGCTGGTCAGACTCCTGGAGTTGTTCGTCCAGCTGGGCCTGGAGGCCAAGCGCGTCTCTGAGAAGGCCATGGGCTCGCAGAAGGTCAGTCGGCGACGTCCTGGGCGGAGAGCGGGGAACCCCCACCGGGGAGCGAGGCAGTCGGGGCGGGGAGCGGGGACACCCCGGCCGGGGAGCGGGACACCCAGGGCGGGGAGCGGGGACGCCCCAACCGGGGAGCGGGGACGCCCTGGCCGAGGAGCGAGACACTCGGGGCGGGGAGCGGGGACGCCCCGGCCGGAGAGCAAGACACCCGGGGCGGGGAGCGGGGATGCCCCAGCTGGGGAGCGGGGACGCCCCGGCCGGGGAGCGGAGACGCCCTGGCTGAGGAGCGAGACACCCGGTTAACGCTGGAGCGGTGGCTCGGTGCGTCGCCTGCTGGAAGCGAGTCGCAGAAGGCGATCGAGTCGCAGCGGCTAATAGAACTGGACGCCGACACTGTGACACTTCGAGGTGGTGGACGCATACACTACGCACGCGCTGAAAGCATGACGGCATTGTGATCGTCCAGTGTGTGTTAAGGTATCCTCTGAGTCATGCCGTTAATTTGTGGTTCGTGTGACCCATAAATCGTGCTGTCACCATAAACGTCCTTTCCGTGATAAGTCGAAAGCAGTGATCACAGGCTATAATACAAGAAGGGTTGACCTCATGCCAACACAACTTTAGCACATGGCGCGCGGAATTCAGTATCGTACGTAATAGTCGGATGCAATTACACTGTAAGGCCTGCCTCAGTCACAGCATATTATCATGCATCTGTGCGTAAAAATGTCGTTTTCAATGTCTTTCGGCTGTCTCGGAGGACTGGGAACAGTGCCATGTGCGGATTGCCTCAGTAATGGACGTCATTGGTGTTACAGACCCCATCCCTAGCAAGAAATTTCAAAGTGAGTTGTTCTGTTTGACCTATCATCTAACTGTTCGTGTTTCTGTCCTTTGTTTCTTTCGCCTTCACCTATACTGTATGTACCCATGCTCATGCACTGGCGCAACACGTCCAGTTCGCATCGATAACTATGCTCACTTTGTTCTTTCCACGCTAACCGAAAGAGTAGAACGATGGGACTGCTACCCACCCTGACTGCTACAAATGGTCCTTGCACGGCTGCACTAGTATAATATATGCTCAATAACCTCGCTTCGTCGTAGATATGCTCAATAACCTTGCCTCGCAAATCGCACAGATACGAAGCCGTATTTCCAGTAGGTGTCTGTTCGCCACGGATCACGGTAGCTGCCGAATTGTCACCACGCCTTGTATAGCTAGATATCACCATCACGCCGCGCGGTCTGTACTGTCCCCTGCCCGGTGGAAGCCACCATGGCGTCTCTCCGCGACCGCCGGCGGTATTCCTGGGGGAACACTGGTGCCCCGCCGGTCCGTGCGCCGCCGGTGGACCTGTGTCCTGCTCCGGGCCGGTGCCGGTGTCAACTGGTGTCCCGCCGGTCCGTGCGCCGCCGGTGGACCTGTGTCCTGCTGCGGGCTGGAGGCGGTGTCAGCTGGTGTCCCGCCGGCCCGCGCGCCGCCGGTGGACCTGTGCACTGCTCCGGGCCGGTGCCGGTGTCAACTGGTGTCCCGCCGGTCCGTGCGCCGCCGGTGGACCCGTGTCCTGCTCCGGGCCGGAGGCGGTGTCAGCTGGTGCCCGCCGGCCCGCGCGCCGCCGGTGGACCTGTGTCCTGCTCCGGGCTGGAGGCGGTGTCAGCTGGTGCCCGCCGGTCCGTGCGCCGCCGGTGGACCTGTGTCCTGCTCCGGGCCGAAGGCGGTGTCAGCTGGCCTCCTCCGGAGTTAGTCAGAGGGTAGCGGCGCGGAGTCTAAACATTCGGAAACCGCGGGAGGGCTCACTGCGTGCAATACATCAGCCATAATAGTGGCCAGATCGCGGGAAGGGTCGTATTTGCCGCCTTCGGTCCTAACTTATGCTCAAAGACGTGTTCAGCCGCCGCCGCGCTCAGTGCGCCGGTCCGAAGGCCGGACGTCGGGACTAGCGGGCAGGTGTGCCGTTCCCACCGTCAGTCAACGTCAGGCTCCCCTCTTATCTCGCCGGCTTTGTATCGTGCTTTCTGCCGGATCTAAGAGAACGTCACGTATTACCGTCGGGCGCGTCTCTGGCAGCCAACGTACGTTTGAACGCTGATGCGTTTCAGGTGCCTAAAAATGCTGCGTTTGAATAGAGCAGTGACTAACCAACCTAAAGAATGTGTATTTCATCCCAGGAAGCAACGTGACGCCAGATGAAAATCGCGCGGAATATTCTTTCAGTATTTTCAGCTCATCCCAGTATATTTGCTCAGGTTCAGACCCTGACACCGGCACACCAGCGCTGTTTCATATATGGACGATGCATGCCGGTGTAAGACGGATGGCATATGATATTAAATAGAAAACACCGTTTTTCACCTGTTGGCCATCTGTCTTGCGGGGCCGGTGTCAGTTTACTCCCGATGACATCAAATGAAAGGAATGTATTCTGCGGCTTGTGGTATCTCTGAGTGCAACGCATTTGCATGCACATTTATTTGCATGTGTAATGGTAACATAGTTTTTTTGTTGTTTTGAACTAAAAATGTGGCGAAAAGCATGGGTTGCAGAGCAGCATCCATTAAGGTGAAATAACACGACGTAGGGCGCATTCATGTTGCTGCGGCTCAAGGGCAATCCAGCGATGTGTCCCTGCAGCCATACAACGCATTAGCTGACAAATGAGCGGCAATTTTTATATTGGTATTCGTGTACCAGCTGTGCCCAACTCCAAAACCCTGCGCTGCGCTGGCAGGCGCGTGATATGACCATCGGCAGCGGCTGGGTGTACCCGCCTATTACCGGACATACCCGCCTAGTGGCCGGACATACCCGCCTATTGACCGGACACGCCCGCGTAGTGGCCGGACACCCGCCTATTGACCGGACGTACCCGCCTAGTGGCCGGACATACCCGCCTAGTGGCCGGTCATACCCGCCTATTGACTGGACACGCTCGCGTAGTGGCCGGACACCCGCCTATTGACCGGACGTACCCGCCCTAGTGGCCGGACATACCCACCTATTGACCGGACATACCTGCCTATTGACCCGGACATACCCGTCTAGTGGCTGTACGTACCCGCCTAGTGGCTGGACATACCCGCCTATTGACCGGACATACCCGCCTAGTGGCCGTACGTACCCGCCTAGTGGCCGTACGTACCCGCCTAGTGGCTGGACATACCCGCCTATCGACCGGACATATCCGCCTAGTGGCTGGACATTTCCGCCTATTGACCGGACATACCCGCCTAGTGACCGGACATACCCGCCTAGTGACCGGACATACCCGCCTAGTGGCCGGGCACACCCACCTTGTGGCCGGGAATACCCGCCCGGTGGCCGGACATACCGGCCTAGTGGCCGGACATACCTAGTGGTCGGACATATCCGCCTAGTGGCCGGACATACCCGTCTATTGACCGGACATACCCGCCTAGTGACCGGGCACACCCGCCTGGCGGCTGGGAATACCCCCCTGGTGGCCGGACATACCCACCTAGTGGCTGCTGTCTGGTCCAGTGCAGTGGGAACGGCCTCATATATGGGCTGGAACGAGTGCAGCTCTCACTTCATGTTAACATGCGATGTCGAAGTTTAATGCGGGACGTTACCATAGCCATGGGACCATTTTCCTGCTCCCCCCCCCCCCCTCCCCCCAGTGCATAGCCAACGCCGTCCTGACCTTGAGACCGAGTCTTGTCTTGCCTGGTGTGGCCTGCTTCCCTGTGATCGGTGTCATACTCGTTTGCCCACGTCGCCTCTTCTTGGCGTACCATCCCCTGGTCCGCCGCGTTCAGATCCGCCGTCCCCTGGTCTGCCGCGGTCTGTCTCGATCAGATCCGCTGTCCCCCGGTCTGCCGCGGTCTGTCTCGATCAGATCCGCTGTCCCCCGGTCTGCCGCGGTCTGTCTCGGTCAGATCCGCCATTCCCTGGTCTGCCGCAGTCTTTGTCGGTCAGATCCGCCATTCCCTGGTCTGCCGCAGTCTTTGTCGGTCAGATCCATCGTCTTCTGGCCTGCCGCGGTCTGCCGCGGTCTGTTTCGGTCAGATCTGCCGTTCCCTGGTCGGCCGCGGTCTGCCTCAGTTAGATCGGTCGTTCCGTGGCCTGCCGCGGCCTGTTTCGGTCAGATCCGTCGTTCTCTGGTCTGCCGCGGTCTGCCGCGGTCAGATCTGCCGTCCCCTGGTCTGCCGCAGTCTACCGTGACCTGACGTGTCCGCCGCGGCCGCTCGCAGGCGTCCAGCTCGGCCGGCAACCTGGGCGTGCTGATCCCGGTGCTGGCCACGCTGGTGCGCCGCCTGCCGCCCATCCGCAGCCCGCGGCCGCGCTTGCACAAGCTCTTCCGCGACTTCTGGCTCTACTCGGTCGTCATGGGCTTCACCGTGCAGGACTCGGGTGAGGCGTGGGGCCGGCAGACCGGGAGGCGAGGGGCGCCACTGCCTGGACGGCTGTCCGAGGTGTCCGGGTTGTCGGGCCTAGGCCTGCCTCTCTGCATTACTGAGCGTGCGATCTTGTGTGAAGTGCACCCGCCGAAAGGCACGGGGCATGTGAAATGTCACCACACCAAAGGTCACCGGTAATTTGACCTGAGATGTTTTGCAGGCATCTGGCCGGTGGATTGATACGAGATCGGACGTCATTGCCAGCTTGACATGTGACCTGTGGCAGGCATCTGGCTGGTGCAGTGGTACGAGGACGTCAAGGGGAGTGGTGCGAGGTCAGATGTCATTGCCAGCTTGACATGTGACCTGTGGCAGGCATCTGGCCGGTGGAGTGGTACGAGGGCGTCAAGGAGATGGCTATCAAGTCGCCGCTGCTCATCAGCTCGCAGACGTCGCTGGCCTCCGAGATGCGCGAGCTGCAGCACACCTCCGCGCTGCGTAACGACGCCGTCTCGCTGGTGCGGCCCCCGGCAACCGACCCGGACACCTGCCTGCTAGCCGCCAGAGGCTTCAGTTGACTCGGAACTGTATAGTATCCGCGCTATACGAGGAGGGGGAGGGGGGACATACGTGTACAGCGGTGGATGTCGGTGACTTGCTGTTCGTGCCGAGCTGCGCGGGGAAGGGCAGCTTGCCAGTCTGGCATGTTACCAATCAGCATTAATGCTCCATACGCCCGCCCAAGCGACAACTGCAGGAAACTGTGTTCTTTGCGGCTGTAAACTGATCTGCATAAAACCTGTGATTATTATCATCATCATCGGTTGTGCGGTTTCGACACCTCTCGCGGCCTGTGCGACCCAGACGGAGCTGCAGGAGCTGAAGATGCAGATCCTCAACTACCTGGAGCACCCGGCCGATGTGACGGCCGTCATACACAAGCTCTCGTTCGCCCAGTGTACCTACCTGCTGTCCGTCTACAAGCTGGAGATGCTCAGGTAGGCGGACGAGCGGGCTGCAGCGCGTCTTGTCCGTCAGACACGGCAGTCCAGCCTACTGGGAACAGAGGGACGCTGGACTGGTGGGCGGAGCGAGCGGGCTGCGGCGCGTCCTGCCCGTCAGACACGGCAGTCCAGCCTGCTGGCAACAGAGGGACGCTGGGCTGGTGGGCGGAGCGAGCGGGTTGCGGCGCGTCCTGTCCCGCCAGACACAGCTGTCTGCTGTTTGTTGCTAGCATGCTGGCAATAAACGGATCCGAGGATGACTGCAAAATAGCCCTCGAACATGTCCGTTGGCCATTCGTGTGTTGTCGACGGCTGGGTGACCTGTGTTGTACTCAGCACTCAGCGTGTGATGCTGTCTCTCCAACAGGGTGCAGAACCAGGAGGACACGAGCTTCCACGCCATGTTTGAGTACCTGAACGACCCGGCCATCCAGAGGGACAAATACAACATGTGGCAGTGTATGAACAGGTTCGTGGCGCTGCAACGCAATGCCGATGTGGCTGTCCGTAGTTATGAAATCGAATGCCTTACGGCCATTTGCGCTCGGTCACTTATGGAATGCGTGGTTCTGAGGAGTTTTCATATAAATCGGTTCTGGCGTATTTTAGCCAAGCGATGAGTTCTTCGCTCATGTAAGAAGACATTGTGCCTTATTGGTCCCAGCGACTTGGGTCCCAGCGACTTGGTACCTTTCTCGGTATCGATATTTGTTTTGTTAGGTATGGAACACAGCGTAAAAATTCCTTCACTGTGCTGGTTTGAGATGCTGCAGGCACGGTGCCGGACGCGTGCTAATTGCTTGAAGACCAGTAGGCTCAGGGAAGCCCTGTTTGCCGAAGTTAATGTAGTTGTATTGGCACACCTCTTTTATGAAAATAAACTAATTGAGAACGATTCCGAGGGTGATCCTGCATTCGAGACGCTCCGAGCAACCTCTGTGCGTGCTAGAAAGCCCACCCCATACATCCTTGAGAAAAAGGGTGTTTTTAAATGCACTGACGGAATATTGTGCTGAAAGACGTTTGCGTGAGCGTCCGGCGTGTCCCCCCTAGCAACCCCCCTTGACTATCCCGTTGATGCTGTGCTGCCCGGGCTCCTGCAGCGTCGGCGAACGGGTCTTCTCCAGCTTCCTGGACGTGATGAACGACAAGCCGAAGAACTGCGCGCGTGAGCAGGAGCTGGCGCGGCACGCCCAGTTCCTGCTGGTCCACTTCAACAGCCCACACAAACAGATCCGTCGCGTGGCCGACAAGTTCCTCTCCCAGATGGTGGACAGGTCAGTGGCGACTGGAGGCCGGCAGGATACCCAGGCGTCGTCACCGGCTCTTGTCGTATGTACATTATCTCAGGAACATCTTGATAGCAGGGCATCGCATCCTGTGTCACGAATGCTCCCGTCTTGTTTGTAGCATCGCAGGTGTGCAGTCAGATCGGGATTACTGCGTGAATTTGTGGCCAACAACGTGGTTTCAATCCCTCGAGGTCTGTCACCAGCTGGGCTATCGTGTCGCTGCGTGGTTTTATGCCCGTAAGACTTGACCGGGCCGCTAAGACTTCCCATGCCGGTATATCACTATTCCTGATCAGTTTTCGCCGTCATCCTGTCCATGTAGGCTGGTCTGTGCATGTGTTTCCTTTCTCTGTTAATCCCAACCACCGCTAGCGGCGACTGCAGCTTTGCGCCCCGCCGTCCGCCGTCCCAGCAGTGCCGCCTCACTCGCTCCCCACCCCGCCGTCCGCCGTCCCAGCAGTGCCGCCTCACTCGCTCCCCACCCCCGCCGTCCGCCGCCCCAGCAGTGCCGCCTCACCCGCTCCCCACCCCGCCGTCCGCCGTCCCAGCAGTGCCGCCTCACCCGCTCCCCACCCCGCCGTCCGCCGTCCCAGCAGTGCCGCCTCACTCGCTCCCCACCCCGCCGTCCGCCGTCCCAGCAGTGCCGCCTCACTCGCTCCCCACCCCGCCGTCCGCCGTCCCAGCAGTGCCGCCTCACTCGCTCCCCACCCCCGCCGTCCGCCGTCCCAGCAGTGCCGCCCCCACTCGCTCCCCACCCCGCCTTCCGCCGCCCCAGCAGTGCCGCCTCACCCGCTCCTCGCCCCGCCGTCCGCCCCCCCAGCAGTGCCGCCTCACTCGCTCCCCACCCCGCCGTCCGCTGCCCAGCAGTGCCGCCTCACTCGCTCCCCGCCCCGCCGTCCGCTGCCCCAGCAGTGCCGCCTCACTCGCTCCCCCACCCCGCCGTCCGCTGCCCCAGCAGTGCCGCCTCACTCGCTCCCCGCCCCGCCGTCCGTCACCCTAGCAGAACCGCCCCCACCCGCTCCCCGTCCCGCCGTCCGCCGCCTCAGCAGTGCCGCCTCACCCGCTCCCCACCCCGCCTTTCGTCGCCCCAGCAGTGCCGCCTCACTCACTCCCCGCCTCGCCGTCCGCCGTCCCAGCAGTGCCGCCTCACTCGCTCCCCTCCCCGCCGTTCGTCGCCCCAGCAGTGCCGCGTCACACGTCCCCCGCCCCGGTCTCTGCCAGGTTCCCGCACATCCTCTGGAACGCGACCGTGCTCACCACCATGCTGGACATCCTGCAAGTGCTGAGCGAGTCGCTGCAGCAGAATCCGAACGAGGCGTCGCCGGACCTGCGCGTGCCCGGCGCCCCCTACCGGCTGGTGCTGCAGGAGACGCGCGAGGCGCGAGAGGTGCGCCGGACTGCAGCCGATAACGTCAGATGGCGTGGCGGCGGCCAGCGGCAGATTTAAGATTTGGCTTGCGCGCGTGGCTGGTGTCGGAGTGCCGTTTTATTGGTTGGTCTTTAATTGTATAATTGCTGGCCTATTTGTACACGTGTTAACCTATGCGGCTCCTTGTGAGAAGTCCAACGTTTAAAGATGTGATGCCCTCCTTGGCTTCAATCATTCGTTTCCCGCGTTCCACTCACCTCAGTCTGCTGCAGCTAGTTATGGGTCCTGCTCTAGTCCAAGCCGTCACTCGTGCGACCGTGACCGAGTCCCGCCCGACCGCCGGCAGACGACGGTGAAGGACTTCGCCGCGCGCTGCCAGGGCATCATCGAGGAGGCCATGAAGTGGGCGCCCGCTACGACCCCGCTCGCACCTGGTCGAGTACCTGCGGCGGCCGGCCGGCGGCCACCACGCCGGCCTAGCGTTGGCGCTCGAGTCGGGTCTGCAGTTCGCCGGCCTCTGCCCGCAGGCCGCCCCGCTCGCCGTACGTGTCACGCCGCGTGCTCGCTGGGTGGAGAGGGCGCAGCGAGCAGTGGCGCGGCGTGTCGCGCCACGTGCTCGCTGCATGGAAGGGCGCAGCGGGCGGTGGCGCCGCGTGCTCGCTACGCGGGAGGGCGCAGCGAGCAGTGGTACCGCGTCGTGCGGCGCCGGCCTTTCTACAATGCGTTGTGCGATATCCACATTTGGGCTAAGTCACGCCAGCTGCGCGCGTTTGAGTCGGCATGCCTTGAAAATTTACCTTATAATAATGCATCAGCGAAATCTGGATATATTTGCGATCGGCTAATACGTCGGGCACTGGACCAGCCAGGCATATAAAGCCGTTAAGCCGTTAAGGTGTTATTTGCTGTGCTGCGCGCGCGGCGCGGGCTGCTCCGAATTACGCAATTTTCCAGTTGGAACGCCCGTGGATGATGTGTTGGGATGCCCCAGCGTCACGTGCCGGGACGCGCGTGCACTACTCTGTATTTGTCCTGCCGTGCCCGGTCAGCGCGGAGCGTTTCCGCCCTCTCCCGGTTAGGCCGTGCTGGAGCGGCTCTGACGCCGCGCCACCCGCCCCGGCAGGCGGCCACGCTGGCCAAACTGCCCGACTGCGTGAAGAACAACAGCTCGGAGCTGGTGGCGGCCGTGGCGCTGCGCTGCAGCTACGCCGGCGAGGTGCGCGGCCTGCAGGCGGCCGGCTCGGCCCGCCAGCTGGCCGCCCAGCTGAGGGACAGCTGGCAGCGGCGCGACGATGCGCAGCATGCGCGCGCCCTGCTGCGCGTCACAGCGCTGCTCATCGACACGCCCGGTAGGGGAGAAGGACAGACGGTGGACGGCACGGGCGCGGGCGCGGGCGCGGGCGCGGACGCGGGGCGCGGGCGCGGACGCGGACGCGGACGCGGGGACGAGGACGACTGGCGTGTGGCTGTTGGGTGGGTGGTTGTGCTGTGTGTCATAACTTTGTCATAATTCCACTAGCAAAAAGATTATGTCACGCCTCCAGGCATCGGCCTTCCACCCGGCTAAGATAACTAAAAAGAGTCGCCATCGGCACTCGGTGTACATCATAGTGGCTTCACTACGCTCGGTGCGTTACAAGAGTCAAATCCATGTTCCGGTCTGTCTCATCCCTCTTCACACCGGAGCCGGAAGGGCTGAACCCACGTCAGCCCGGTGTCCTGTTGTCACCTGAGCCATCGCCTGAGCCGTCACCTGAGCCGTCACCTGAGCCGTCACCTGAGCCATTACCTGAGCCACCACTTGAGCTGTCACCTGAGCCATCACCTGAGCCGTCACCTGAGCCATCACCTGAGCCATCACCTGAGCCGTCACCTGAGCCGTCACATGAGCCGTCACCTGAGCCGTCACATGAGCCGTCACATGAGCCGTCACCTGAGCCGTCACCTGAGCCGTCACCTGAGCCGTCACCTGAGCCGTCACCTGAGCCGTCACATGAGCCGTCACCTGAGCCGTCACATGAGCCGTCACATGAGCCGTCACCTGAGCCGTCACATGAGCCGTCACATGAGCCGTCATATGAGCCATCACCCGAACCATCACCTGAGCCACCACCTGGGCCATCACATGAACCGTCACCTGGGCCACCACCTGAGCCACCACCTGAGCCATCACATGAACCGCCACCTGAGCCACCACCTGAGCCGTTTTCTGAGCCATCATTCGAACCATCACCTGTGCCATCACCTGAGTCGTCACCCGAGCCATCACCCGAGTCATCACCTGAGCCGTCACCTGAGCCGTCACCACCGCGGGCAGGTCTGGACCGCGAGCTGCTGCACCTGGTGGCCTGGTCACCGGCGTTCGTGTTCACCGAGTCATCGATGCGCGCCGGCATTCAGTGCTGGGAGTGGGTGCTGTCGGCGCGCGTCGACCTGGAGATCAGCTTCCTCAGAGAGATGTGTGCCGCATGGCAGGTCAGAAGGAGGAGGGAACGGGTGCTTATTGGTTGGTTTGTTGACATTTGAGCCTCTCCCCCAGCCTTCACGTCTTCCGTCTGTTGGCTTGCTAGAATGCACCATAAGTGTGACGTACGGGAGTGAATATATTGAAACAGGAATGCGACTGTCGGCTTATACTTATAATTATTCTCAGCGCCACTTCCACCCTTGGTGCCAGTGTTCTACATTATGTGACTGTGTTGTCCATGAGAAGACGCTTTTTGTTGGGCTCATTTCACATGCTCACATGCATGCTTCCTATGCATGTTTGCGGTCCAGTGGAATGAATACATAAGCCTGTCGCGAAAAGGCTACAAAGGTATTTGTGACGTTCAAGTGTCTTCTCCTTGGTTCCATTAAACCCCAAATGAGCACCACTCCCGAGTTTCAGCGGCTCACAGCGTGCTGAGTTCGTGTGTTTCAGTACACGATAGACAAGCGTCTGGGCCTATTTAGTGAGCAGGAGCCGGAGGTGAACCCGCTGGCCGTGTACGAAGGCTGCTCCATTGAGGCCCGGCCGCCCTACGTGGTGCCCCACCACCTCTGGGTCCAGGTCAGTCATACACCCCTGCCGTTTGGTCCAGGTCAGTCACGCATCCCTGCTGCTGAGTCTTGGTCTGTCATACACCCCTACCGCTGTGTCCGGGTCGCTCAAACACCCCTACCTCTGGGTCCAGGTCAGTCATACACCCCTGCCGTTTGGTCCAGGTCAGTGACACACTCCGTTCGGTGGGTCCGGGTCAATCGTACACCCCTTCCGATGGGCCCGGGTCAGTCATACACCCCCACTGCTGGGTCCGGGTCAGTCATACACCCCTACTGCTGGGTCCGGGTCTGTCATACACCCCTTACTGCTGGGTCCGGGTCAGTTATACATACCTACCACTAGGTCCGGGTCAGTCACACACCCCTGCCTCTGGGTTCAGCTCAGGCGCCGCCTGCACGGTGTCAGTGACTATATGACTCGTGGGTCTTGTGTGTGTTCGCCACCTCCTTTTATCGGCCATCCGTGTCGTCTGAATCCACGTCGGTGTCTTCCCCGCTGCGAGTGATTCAATGTGCTATGGGTTCATGACTTTGTCCTCCAAAATGTCAGTCATCCTGTGTCCTTCTGCCCCATGTCAGTGTCTGCCCCGGTGCCAGCGTCCCCGTTACCTGAGTTATGTCAGTGTCTTCCCGGTGTCAGCGTCCCCGTGACCTGAGTCATGTCAGTGTCTGCCCCGTTGTCAGCGTCCTCATGACCTGAGTTATGTCAGTGTCTTCCCCGGTGTCAGCGTCCTCATGACCGGAGTCATGTCATTGTATTCCCCGGTGCCAGCGTCCTCATGACCGGAGTCATGTCATTGTATTCCCCTGTGTCAGCGTCCCCATGACCTGAGTCTTGTCGGTGTCTTCCCCGGTGTCAGCGTCCCTGTGAGCTGAGTCCGTAAACGGCGCACTCTTCGGCGGTGATTGCGGGGTCCCTCCCCTCCAGTGGTATTGACCCCGTGTCGGCCTCCTGTTCCCATTGGTGGCGCCGCGCCCAGTAATCGTGCGTGGCAGGTGGTGTGTGCCTGCCTGATGTGGTGACCACGTGCTGTACCGGTTTGTGGCAGCGCTCTCCCGTGGTGACCACGTGTGGTGTCGGTGCGCGGTGCCGCAGTTTCTGCTGGAGCGGGTGGAGATCGCGCGCTACCGCAGCCAGGACCAGGTGGAGCTGCTCTGTAACCTGCTGCACGGCACGCTGTCGCTCTCCGTGGGCGACCAGCAGAGCTTCATCACTCGCCACGTGGCGGCCGTGGGCACGCGCGTCCGCCTGCTCACGTGCGGCCTCATCCTGCTGCAGGCCGACCTGCTGCCAAAGTCAGTCGGCGTCCGCCCGTCCGCCCGCCTCCGCCGGCGCACAGTGACGTGTAGCGCGGATAACAAACTCTTTGCCGAGGTGCAGTTGGTTTTTGATTCAAAACTGTGATTCCCATGTTCCAACGATATTCCTGAATAAGACGCCCGAAACGGTAAAAACCACAGATGCTGCGGGGATCACTTGTTTGCCGTGTATTCAGGCAGCTCTGTCGCGAACGTCACCTGCGTTGTACGTTCTACCGTGGCGCCGAGCTGCGATGCCGTCCGCCGGACCTCTGCGGTCCGCCCGTGTGGTGGCGGGGTGTGACGCCGTCCGCCGGGGTCCACGGTCAGCGTTTGTGGTGCTGAGCTGTGGTGCCGTCCGCCGGGTCTCTGCGGTCCGCCTGTGTGGTGGCGGGGTGTGACGCCGTCCGCCGGGGGTCCACGGTCCGCGTTTGTGGTGCTGAGCTGTGGTGCCGTCCGCCGGGCCTCTGCTGTCCGCCTGCGTCTGACGGACGGCGCCGCGTCGCTGCTCGGCAGGACCCAGGGCAAGGGGGCGCTGCGGGAGCGGATCTATTACGCGTGCCTGGACTACTTCTGCGGCCAGCCGCGCTTCCCCTCGCCGGAGCAGTCGGCCGGCACGCTGCGTGAGGACATCACCGTGCTCATCCGCTTCTGGCAGAACATGCACTCGGATAAGAAGTACCTCAAGACCAGCATGATCGGCGGTGAGCGCGACGGCAGCGACGCTCGGCGGTGGTAGGCGGAGGAGAGAGCGCGAAACGGGTCATGTTCTGACGTGTCGGGGGCCTTGCGGGTCAAAAGACCGGCAATTGTTTGAAAACTATTTGATATGATCCCATTGGTAAATAATGCGTGTAGTTTTTGCTTAGCGGTTTTCAGATTGTCCTTGAAACAGGAGCATGTGGACGCTGAGTGATATACTGTTGGGGCGGAGGGAGGTTGACGAGCACGTCCACAGAGGGCAGCTGTGTTTGCGTGCCGTTTGACAGGGTCCGGTGCCGCTCCTGTTTAGTCCAAGCGTAAAAAGGCCTATGGGTCATTTTCCGGAAGCAGCTCGGAGTACTGGACCTTATGATGTAAAATCACAAAGTTGGAGTTATTTGCGTGCATGTTCAAATTTACTGGTCAGCACTGAAGTGTGCTTGATTCGCCGAAGCTTAAAAATGTTCCCCTGATTGATTCACGCGATGGTGCTGAGGCCTTTTGGCGTGCGTACGGCAGTGGTGTGTTTGGTGGCGTCGGCGCCTTGACCGGGCCACCGGACCCACCGCTGCCGGCCGGTCCTGACCCGTCGCTGCGTCATCGGCAGACTTCAGCGAGTGGAACATCATGGGCACGCGCGAGGTGGCCTCGTCGCGGCCGCCGGCCAGCGAGTTCAACCCGTCTGTGACGGGCTGGTTCAACACCGTGCCGCTGACGTCCAACAGCTCGACGCTGTCGCGCCGCTCCGCCAAGAACCGGCTCACCAACCCGGACGTCTACGTCAAGGACTACATCAAGAAGCGCAACCTCATCCTGGCGCTGCTGGTGAGTCTGCGGCGCCAGCGAAAGGACGGCGGCTGATAGGGGAATGCTGCACACTAAGACCTTCGATACTCTACTTTATAAGAGACTGGGTGTCCTGATTCGGTTCATATGTATCCCTTATTTAAAGGTTATTGCCACATGCAGACTGCAGGCAAGAGCTCCACAGGGTGCTTCGTTTGAGATATCAATTGTAAAGGGCAGCTAGAGATACTAAAGATAGTCCAAGCACGTGGTATATGGCAAGTATTGTTGAAAATTGCGGGGCATTTAGATAAGTGTTGTTCACACACTCATTGGGGTCTAGGAGCTAGGAGCTAGAGAACAGGTTTCCGTCTCCGTGCTGAACGGCGGGACATGCCATTTGCAGGACGCTGGTAGGTGCGGGTCATTCTGAAATTAGGAGAAATACATTTGTGCTCAGGGGCTGCTGCGGAGACGTTGTACTAGGCAGATGAGAGATGTCTATAAAAGCAAAAATGTCCAAATGTTCAAGTATCTGCAACATGATCGATTATGTTATCAACTGACATACATATCACAGCCTTTTTTAACTTGACCACCCTGTATTTCCGGTACCGGTTGACAGTGCACGTGTGTTGCGTGCACGGATTGTCCTGACGGCGTCCCGGCTGCAGCGGTGTTAGCTTGTGTGCGGTCGCTGTGCGCAGCTGACCGCGGCCGCTCTGTCTGTCCACAGTCGGCGGAGATCGAGCGCGACCGCTCTGTTTGTCCACAGTCAGGGGAGACCGAGCGCCTGCCCACCTGGCTGGTGTGAGGCCGCTGTGTGCGGCTGACCGGCGGTCGCTCTGTCTGCCCACAGTCGGCGGAGATCGAGCGCCTGCTCACCCGGCTGGTGTGAGGTCGCTGTGCGCAGCTGACCGGCGGCCGCTCTGTCTGTCCACAGTCGGCGGAGATCGAGCGCCTGCTCACCTGGCACAACCCGCAGAACCGAGCCGAGCTGCACATCGCCGGCGAGGAGCACATGGCCACGTGGCGCGCACAGCCCGTTAGCGAGAAACAGTGGCGCGACCACATCCGACTGGCCTGGGACATCAGCCCGCCGCTGGCCGTCATGCTGCCGGAGCGGTTCAAAGGTGACGCGCCGGCGCGGGCTGAGCGCGGGGGCGCGGAGAGGGTCAGTCCAGGTAAACAGTGGCGCTACCACATCCGGCTGGCCTGGGACATCAGCCCGCCGCTCGCCGTCATGCTGCCGGAGCGGTTCAAAGGTGACGCGCCAGCGCGGGCTGAGCGTGGGGGCGCGGAGAGGGTCAGTCCAGGTAAACAGTGGCGCGACCACAGCCGGCTGGCCTGGGACATCAGCCCGCCGCTCGCCGTCATGCTGCCGGAGCGGTTCAAAGGTGACGCGCCGGCGCGGGCTGAGCGTGGGGGCGCGGGGAGGGACAGTCCAGGTCAACAGTGGCGCGACCACATCCGGCTGGCCTGGGACATCAGCCCGCCGCTGGCCGTCATGCTGCCGGAGCGGTTCAAAGGTGACGCACCCGCGGGGGCTGGGTGCGGGAGCGCGGAGAGGGTCACACAGGTCAATGGTAATGGTACTTTGCTTTGCACAGCGTGATGTTATGCTCAGGTCTGGCTGCAAATCGTGTTCAAAATTTAAAAGAAAACACATCCAAACCAAACCAAGCCAGATGCTGGTGGTTTCCTGCTTTTACAAGGAACAAGCCGGCTATTGATTTGGCCTCGACCTCAACCTTTTCGCCTCAAGTCCTACCTCAATTAGGGGCTGAGCAGATGTTATTTTTTATGTTCGCCTGACACAGCGTAACCAAGAGAATCGCCTGCGTGACCAGTGTGTAACCAGGGGAAGGGAAAGTTGAAAATTAATGGCGAAAAAGGGCGTGACGTGATGCACGAACGACCCGGAAACAAGGATGAAAGTCATCCTGAAAGACAAGACTCATGAGGATTACCATCGCCGTCTCTCCCTTCAATACTCTCGAACAGCAGAGACAGTCCAGACAAAACAAAAAACTCTCAGAACCAATGTACGCACATTGCCTTGTAAAAAGGAGTATGAAGGAAAAGCCTAGCTGTGAAGCCTCACTGGTATTACGAGGACAGAGGACATTAACGGTGCATACACAAGGCAACCGTTTTAAGCACGCAGTTCAAACGATAATCGACAAAAAGTTTCATTGTTCTGACAAAGTCAGCTGGCAGGCACACAACAGCCGCATCTACCAGCCAACAGCCAACAGCCGCCGGCTGAGCCCTACACCGCCGTAGGTCGGCTTAGGTAAAGGGAGCTCGCCCTCGGCGCCACCACAAGGCGGCTGGGCGGCCGGCCAAGCGGCGGTAAGCAGCACTGAGGCAGGTGCAGAACGTCATTACTGAAAAAATGCTGAGCAGAAAAAACGCACGCGACTAGTGTAGTGGGCTGAAAAGGGTCTAGACTGGTACAAGTGCTCCCGCAATAGCAGCTGCCACCGTTGTATCGCCTTTCAGTCTGAAATGTCCGCTGTCAAAACGGTGCGGGCGGCTGGCGGCCACCCGGCCGGGGGTCGCTCAATAACGCACCTCCGTGCAGACTAGCTGAGAGACTGACCCAAACTGGTACAAACGTGAAATGTGCACATGGATGTACAAATCGTAGAGCTGTGCCGACCGTCTTACATCTGTCGAGACCGACACTTCCATGTACGAGCGGCCTGGGCGGCTGGCGGCCTTCCAACCGATAATCGCCCAGGTCTTGTAACGCGCCTGCTTACAGATCGTCAACAAAGCCACCTAGGGAGGTAGATATTTGAGAGCCCTTGTGCGCTAGTGTGCGCTACAGGTGGGCTATTGCAGTGGTTTGAGGTTAGAATGTCTCATTATAAAGCCGATCTGAGCAAATGGGAGCCACCTAGCCAAGAATCACCCCCTGTCCAATAGCGCACCTGCCTGCAGATAGGCTGAATGTCTGCCCAAACTGGTACAAACGTGCACGTATTCAGATGTGTTCAAGTGGGAGAGACGCGCCGGTTGTCCCATTGCTTTGGGATCCGACATTCGCAACGTAACAGCGGCATTGGTCTGGCCGACTGTGGTCGCCTGGCCGTCAGCCGCCAAGATGCAAGTCGAGGTGTCACCACTGCAGGCGTTGTTTTGGAGAAAATGGCACCACCCGATGCAAAGAAATGTTTCGTTTGCGCGAAGGCCGCAGCTGTGATGTTCGGAATCCGCTCCCAGCGCTGACGAGCCCCGTAGTCGGCAGACCATTCGCTGACGCTAACGACATGCTCGCGATATTAACGGTGCATTCTTGGCTAAAAACGTTGTAAGGTCACCCGATAAATTTCATCGTCCGGTAAGATTTTGGCACGCTTGAAATATCGGGTCAACATAAGCGACTTGTCGAGAATGAATCATGCCTTTCGATGAAAATGCAAATTTCCTATGATCTTACATACACCGTTAAAATTCAAGGTCTGACCAGACACAGTCCCTCTAAGCGAAACACCAACAGGTTAGCGGCGTAGACAATCGGTTAGGAGTAGGTGGAGAGTGGTCCGTGTTCCACAAATCGTACGGCGTCGGCTTGAACTGCCTTCCTAACGAATGTTACGTCTGTATCGAATGCCTACTCCTTACCAGCGTTACATTCCATCTTAGAGCACAGCGGCAGACTGGGCAGTGGCGGCCGAAGTCGCTGAAGACGCCAGCAGAGAGGACAGCGGCAGGCTGCCGATTCCAAACAGGCGGCAGCCAAAGTCACTGAACACTCCAGCGAGAGAGGACAGCGGCAGGCTGCTGGTGCCGAACAGGCGGAAGCGGCCAGAAACGCTGAACACTCAACCGAGAGAGGACAGCGACAGACTGCCGATGCCGAACAGGCAGCAGCCAGAGTCGCTGAAGACGCCACCGAGAGGTGACAGCGGCAGGCTGCTGATGCCGAACAGGTGGAAGCGGCCAGAGTGTCGCGCGGTAGTATGTTCAACTGAAACACATTGATATTGTGGTGCATAGTTTCTGCCCGTGGAGGCGCGCTGGCAGGCAGGCCGCCAAGACAGGGCTCGACCAAGCATGGCCAGTGACACGTCTCTGTCCGCACCTCCGACTCCGCCGGAGAAAGGGGCCCGGGAGTAAGAGAATGGCGTCTCTGCGCGCCTCGAACCAACGTTCCACCCAGTGCGTCTTTCAACAGCGCGCCACATGCGATGCCTCGCCCAGTGCGGCGCGCCGGAGAGTACGCCAGATACACGGCATCGCCGGGCGCGGCCCGACGTGTACCGCGCGGCTTACTGCAAAGCTCAAGCGCAGTTAACGCATTTAGAAGGAGTCGAGATTTTTTTCAAGCAAGAGGAGAAAACGGGCATTTTATCTTCTGGCTGGTGTTTCTTGCCGAGGTGCCGGACACCCTGTGCGCGAAACGGATTCGCGGTGGTCAGCGGCACGACGCCCCCTCCCCAACAATGTGCCTACGTTACCTCTCCCCAACCAGATGGCTCGGTAAAATTCAGTAGTCAAATTTTTTAGTCCAAACATCCAGTTCATTTGGCCCGTGCAGCGATATTGTATCTGGTCAGCGTAGTTGGTAGCACCAGCGGCTTCTCGGCCAGGCCGGCAGCCTTGACGATAGTTCTCGGCCAGCCCAGCCAGCCTCCGATTGGAGTCTGGCAGCCGGGGTGTACCTCCCGATATTGGGGGAAAACGACTTCCTATGCTTTTCTTCGTGGCAAATGCCGTTTAGATGTATTTTTCAGACCATGCAGCTTCAGTTCAATACAGTTTTGACGTGACGTGGACCAAACCCAGGGGTGAATCAGGAGCGACAAATAGCACTGTCCCGTGGCTCGATAAGACAGAAATGACTGAAAATCAAGGTCGGAGGGATATTCGTGTGCCCCGTTCGGAGAGGCGGGCGGACAGCCGTACTCTAGCTGCAGTAGGTGGCGTCGGCCGTATTGCTCTGGACCCAGGGTGGCCGGCGGGCGGGCGGGCAGCCGTACTCTAGCTGCAGAAGGTGGCGTCGGCCGTATTGCTCTGGACCCAGGGTGGCCGGCGGGCGGGCGGGCAGCCGTACTCTAGCTGCAGTAGGTGGCGTCGGCCGTGTTGCTGCGGATCCAGGGCAGCACCGCCGTTACCCGGGCGAACACGTCAGGCGTGCCGGCCAGGGCGCACGGCTGGCCGAAGGACACGACACCGATCAGGGCGTACTTGCTGTTCTCCAGCGTGACGAGCGGGCCGCCGCTGTCGCCCATGCAGACCGCCTTGCCGCCGGCCGGCAGACCGCCGGCGCAGATCATGGTGCTGGTGAGGATGTTCCACACGGTCCTGCACTGAGCATCGGATTTGACCGGCAGCTCGACCTCCTGCAGCTCCGTGGCCTGCGCCTGCGAGGCGCCGAGCTGGCCGAAGCCGGTGGCGATGGCGGTGGCGCCGGCGTACGTCTGGCCGGCGGTCGGCAGGCACACGGCCGCGCGCCGCCTGTTGAACGTGACCGGACTGGACAGCTTCAGCAGCGAGTAGTCGTACCCCTTGCCGGCCGTCACGTAGGACGGGTGCTGGATGATCTGGCTGAGGGTGTGACGTGACTCACCGTCGACCACGCTGATGCGGTGATCGCCCAGCAGCACCTGGATCTGCGACGCCGTCTTGCCACTGGTGCAGTGGGCCGCCGTCAGCACGTACCGGTTGTTGATGAGGCTGCCGCCGCACCAGGTGCGGGTCTGACCGGGGTCGACCAGACCTGCCTGCCACGGGTACTCATTGACCTCGGTCTGGACGCCGCCAACCACACGCGAGGCACGGTTGGCCACGCCGCAGCTGCAGCTGCCAGAGGAAGATCCACCCGATCCGGCCGCAGCCCGGATGGTGCAGGAGAACCCAGTCCCGACCTCGACGTAGTCGGAGTGGAAGTCGATGTTCAGGGCTGAGCTGCCAGAGACGGAAGGACCCTGACTTCCACAGAACTTGTTTCCGTTCACGCGCAGCCAGTCCCACTCACAGGAGCTGTGCATCTCAATGTCGAATGCAGAGCAACTGATGGATAAGGTCGCGGCACCCGATCCCGGTGTCAGCTTGTAGACGCAGTCGTAGTCGTTGCCGTAGTTGGAAGGGTAGTTCGGCGACGTGATGGTGTACGTTCCCGTAGTCAGTGCGTGGGTACCGCACGCAAGAGTGGTGCGTGCGGCTCCCAGCTCGGCGTCGAAAGGCACGGGCTCCAGCGACTTGGCGTCCTCCAGGGAGACGTGCGGCTTGGCCGCGGCAACGCCCAGAACGACAATAGCTAGGAACGCCCTCATGCTGACTACCGGCACACTGATAGCAGCACATACCGCGTGTGCATTTATATACATACGTGCACAAATCCTGGCTGTCATCGCCGACGCTGTCTCGCGGAAGTTGGCGAACTCTGCGCTTGCGAAATCCACAAAAGAAACAGGTCATCCGATGGAACTGAGGCATCCCAGGCGCAGCTGCAGAGATGCCGGCTAGGCCCCGCGCAAGTGTTCCATTGTCCAGACCGAAAAAAAATGATGCGTCATTCATACCGTTTGAAAAGCGCACGTGCATTGGGGACGCTGATGAAAGACTTTGCTAACAGGCACACGCCGGTGGAAAGGTTAGCCTGACCTGAGTCCGTCAACAGATGTGAAGCTTTTTGTGGGCAGGAAGATGCCAAGTTCGCCATGTAGGAAGACACAAATGAAATGACGCGCCAGCACTGATAATTGGTACAAAATTGAGAGGTGCCCATTTACCGTTCTAACGAGTGGTCCACCAGCTGGAAACTGACAAGGCCGTCCTTCGCAGGGCTCCCGAGAGACCCCCCCCCCTTCCCCACCCCTTACCCCCCACCCCCACCCCCGTCTTAGGGATATGCGGTGCACTGTTGACTTCGGTCTCACATTTTGATAAAATTCAAGTCGCAAAGTTTCCCACGTTTCGGCCGACATGCCGTCTTCAGATGATATGTTTTTGTGTAAAAAACTTGAATTCATTTGAAGAGCGCGAGAGCTCTTCCAAAATGATATGAAGTTTGCGACTGCTTGCGTTGCATTCGAAGCGATTCATCATTGTACCGTATAGAATACATGTTTGTGTCCACTGCGACCGTCACGTTGCCACTGGCGTTGAACTACGTGTTGAAAAAAGCAATAACATTGTTTTATTCGATAATGCTATCATTGCCAATCAAGTGGCATCATTCCCTTTCAGCAATGCCACAAAGATTGTGAGAAATTGTCATATGGTAACACGCGCCGGAGGGGGGGGGCAGTATCAACCTTGATGTTTTAGTTCAAAATAATTTCCAACCGGTGCGGCGCAGCCTCGCCAAACACTGCGTAGTTGAAGGTAATCAAAAGGCCGATTTCGTGGTGTGACAAATTATATATATATATATATATATATATATATATATATATATATCGTGAGGTCGCTGACCTATGACGGGTCGAAGCCTGACTATGGCTGTCAGCGAAGCCAATTCAAAGATAATCGACCACTTTTTACGCGACAACGTAGTGCTAGACGGGGTTTACAACTTTGAGATGGTTTCTTAAACAATTAGAGCTTTTGAGTTTAGGATGACGACATTTTGCCTACACGTGGTATGCAAATTGAGACTGGTTGCGCGAGGAGATATGTGGACGCATGGGACACCGATATATGAGGGCCTTTCAGACACTCATCTGGATTTTAACTTTGCTGTACCCTATTTGACCTTATGTTCACGACCTGTTACTAAATACTTCGAATTTCATACGTGTGAATTCATATGTAGCCATACCTATCCGGTGAATTTGGTGTTTCCAGCTCTCTTAATTTGATTAGATCTCGGGTAGATAAATGCCCCCCCCCCCCCCACTCCTACCCCTGCTACAGCGCGGTGTATGTAACCGGCCACCGGGGGCGTGCTAAGCGAAATTTCGGCATTCGGTATTAAGGTATTCAAGACAAGCACCACCTGGGCGGAAGTGGGCGTAGACTGGGCTCTGGTTGTTTCAGATGTAACCAACTTTACAATACGTCAAAACGAATATTATTGTGCATGCGGGCGTCGTGGAAAAAATTGACCGACTGGGTTCGGCGTAAAAACGACTAATTTCTGGATTGCCTGATAGCGCATAAACACATGTGTTTATGCGCTATTTGTCCTCTGTCGATCTTTCATTGATTTTTAAAACGTCAGTTTTTTCTGACATGAGAAAATGCGTGTGTCAGAACTCCACAAATTGCCATCTATTCTGTGGAAAATGAAATTACTTTTAGTCCCAATTATTACTCTGAAAACCAAGGAAGGGCTAGCCATGGGTTAACAGTTAAACACCCTGTACCAACGATTTTCTGAATAGTTTTTGTGTATTTAAGCCACGAGAGGAACTTCTTTCAAGTTGAAGCAGTGCATTCGATGCTCTTTCCAAAAGCAGCAGAGCCTGCAGCATAATAAAGTTCTCGCTACTAGTGCCCGCTAGCCAGACGGCTGACATTGAGGCTTACTAGATGTAGATGCCTCGGTGAACATATATAACTAAGCATTTTAGAATTCGTGGGTATACAGTACATGTGTTTTACAAATAAAGGCTCTAATAATTTTTGAATGACCAAGACAAAACGAAAACACGAGCGCACTGAAATGCATGCTGTTTTTATCAGCACATGCCATGGCTTAGGAGCATGGCTTTTTCATGATCAATATCTGTACATAAAAAGAAAGGGCTCCAAAGCTTGGCTGGCGTGGGAAGCAGGAGGCGGAACGCTTAAGGCCGTGGTAAATCACCAGTCTGCCGATTTGCCTATTTCTCTTGATTTTGTAAATACCTGTCAACGATACTTGATGTGTTTCATAGATTCTTTGATAATTGGGGTAATCATGCAGGATTCCTCCACAAACTGTATTTGCGTTTAATACGACGTTGTCATAAAATCCAAAACATGTTGGTAGCAATTTTTAAGAACTTAATGCTCTACCAGGTACTCGTCAACGAAAATGCGATTTGTTGATGCGGTAAGGTAAGGTAGACGGATTTTTTAGGTAAGTTAAGCATTTTTGAAGAACTTCTGGACTACTTGCCGCAGGAAAAACGGGTGATGCCAAATATGGAACACGAACTACGAGTAGTTAGGAAAATCTGAAGAGTACATGAGGCCTAATGTACTCGCGTGAGCGAGCCCATGGACGAATGTAGCGTTTTGAAAGAAAAGTTGTGAAATATCGCCGAAAATTGGGCTACATATCAAAGACTTGTACTGCGAAATGGAAAGGGTATTCAAACCGCTCGGGACACCTTTTTGCAAAGTCATGCCGCTGCCAGTTCTGCTCATTAATGCACCACCTCTTATAGACTACTCAGCACCTTCAGTACCTCCGCCGCACAAGGGGTACTGGATACACGGTGCAGCTGGACACGTAGTTGAACATTGTAGCCTAGACATCGGTGGGGAAACCTGAAGCCGCACGGCAGCCTGGGGCATGCCTTGATTGTCTCCAGACATCTCGCCATATGACCGAAAATTGTGCACAACCGAACGAATGTAGGGCCACTTTTGGGAGTTCAGAGTTCTTACGTCGAGTTACTGACCACTATACCAAGAGGTAATTGCTTAAGTGTCGTCGGACGTCGTAGAACACCATTTAAGGGAGTCTTTCGTCTTATCGCATGGTTCTTGATATGGAGCTTGTAAAGCTGGCTGTTGCTGGGTTTGGACCGCTCCATTGCATTAGTAACACGAGAAAACGAGACAAACTGTATCCATTGCGCCGCCAGTCTAGTGTCCCGAGGTCGGCGAAGTTGGTGCCATGACGTTCGGACCTGACCTCTGGCTCATCCGCTGACAGAGGAGGTGATTCGACGGGAGGTGAGCCGGCTGGTGCGCAGCCGACCGCAGGCCGTCTGCCACATCTCTGAGGCGCTGCAGTACCTCACCACGCCCGAGCACATCGTCAACGACATCATCGAGGTGAGCCGGCCGACCGAGGCCGGCAGCGCTGGCGTGCCGGGAGATTGGCGCGCTGGCGCTGGCCCACCGTTTGTCGTCAACAGGCAATATCAGTCTCTTGAAAACCTCGCTGCTGGTTGGTTAAAACGGTTCAAGTTTTCGTTGCTAGTCCTCGTCTGCAGTTGTTGGATTGGACCGTCTTTACGTGCATGACTTCTCACGCCATGACGATAAGTGCGGTGACGGGATAACAAGCATGCCCGGCATATATTCACTCCAGTGGAGTATGCGCTCATGGGACGCGCCGGCGTGTCTCCAGCCCACCGAGAAGGCATCTCCGGCCCGCATTGTCGCCGTGTGTTGGCTGGACTCGACGCCGGTGTGCGGTGGCTGACGGCGCCGTGCGGGGACGTGTGTTGGCTGGACTCGACGCCGGCGTGCGGTGGCTGACGGCGCCGTGCGGGGACGTGTGTTGGCTGGACTCGACGCCGGCGTGCGGTGACTGACGACGCCGTGCGGGGGGCGTGTCTTGGCTGGACTCGACGCCGGCGTGCGGTGACTGACGGCGCTGTGCGGGGACGTGTGTTGCAGTTGTCGCACGCGCTTCACCTGGGCCAAGCAGCCGCCGGTGTCGGCGCTGGCCTTCTTCTCGCGCCAGTACCCGCCGCACCCGATCACGGCCCAGTACGCCGTGCGCGTGCTCAGCTCCTACCCGTCCGACACGGTGCTCTTCTACATTCCGCAGCTGGTGCAGGCCGTGCGCTACGACACGGTACGCGCGCTAGTCGTGCCCGATCGGACACGTGTGTGCCGTTAGTGTGTCCACCGTCAGGGCGTGCGCTACGATACGGTACGCGCGCTAGCCGTGCCCGAAAGGACACGTGTGCGCCGTTAGTGTGTCCACCGTCAGGCCGTGCGCTACGACACGGTACGCGCGCCTGTTCGTGCTGGGCTGGACGCGTGTGTGCCGTTAGTTTGTCGACCGTCCGCTGGAGTGTCAATGCCAGTGTAGTATTCCATGTGGTTTGATCGCTGTTTTCCTTGGTTTCTGTTTGGCTGCACGATATTGGCGCATTGTGCTCATATTTAATCTATCACTTTCTTACTTTATCGGGTGCTTGGAGAAATTGGCTGTTCAAGGTGACAAATTCATCGGTCTATTACGAACGTTTCCTTAATGTATAGATATGACAGATGAAATTCCCATCGCGATAGCTAGCTCACCCCAGCTCAAATGACCTCCACCTCCAGATGGCTTCATCACAGAGTTCATCAACCGCGCGTGCGCCAAGTCACAGATCCTGGCGCACCACGTGATCTGGAACATCGAGACCAACAAGTTCCGCGATGAGGAGGGCCAGGTCAAGGACGGTGAGTGTGACGCCGTGGCCGGCTGTCCCGCACTTCCTGACGACGCAGGGCGGTCCTGGCACCGCTCCTGCCGCCCACCATGGGCCGCTGTGTCTCCACAGAGCTGCGTGGAGGAGGTAGAGTCGCCGCAGTTCCAGGTAGAGTCACCGTCAGAATCCAGCTGCCCTCCTCGCGTAGCTAACCTATGCAGCGCCGGGGCACGCTTGACCTGCTGCGCAGCGGTGGACTCACGCACCTGACTGGCGCCGTTCACCACGACTTTGCCGTGTCGGGTTCGAGAACGCTGAACTGCGCTGCCTTGTCAGCATAAAGACCTTCAGACCACTTGACTCCGCGTTTGCGCCCGCCAAGGATGTATTAGCCGCTGTCGCGTGGACGGCGCGCGGCGACGTGGACGTGTCGGCCATGTGGTTGATCTCCCGCACGGTCGCACGGCGCGTGGCGGGTCCGCGGGCATTCTCGGTTTGCCTGCCGAAGGGAAAAACGCAGCACACGTCAGTGGCGCGGTCGGGACCACGCTACTGCTGTGTTTACACGGTGAGTCCCGGTTTCAGCGGACCTGTACGACACCCTGGAGAACATCCGGAACGCCATCGTCTCGTCACTGTCTGGGCCGGCCAAGGCGTTCTACGAGCGCGAGTTCAGCTTCTTCCAGAAGATCACCAATGTGTCGGCTCAGATCAAGCCGTTCCCGAAAGGTAGCGTGTGCGCCCCGGTCGTTCCGGCCGTGAACTGGCACGGCCTTGCGGAGGATGACGGGGATTGCGCGGTTCAAGCGCGGGCAGTGAGATGGTGATGTATAGGTGATAATGGTGTGGCAAGGGAAGGAAATCGTCGTAGCTGGAATTACCCATGTCACGTCGTCCTGGCTTGGAAGCCCAGTCCCCCATTATCAATAGCAGACGGAACTACACACACAGCCGGTGACCATGCGCGCCAGTGGCCACTATCATGCCGTCATGTCCTTCTATCGCAGTACCATAGCGTGATGTCACGAGCCCCCATCCGTGTCTGTGGCGTGGTTCCATGATCCATGTCTCGAGCCCCCATCCATGTCTGTAGCGTGGTTCCATGCTCCATGTCTCGAGCGTGGCTCCACGATGAGCACCTCCCTGCGCTGAGGGGCGGATGGCCGTGGCCCCGCACCTGGCCGCCCGGCTGACCTGGCCGGACCGCTGCTGCCGGCAGGTCCTGCTCGCAAGGAGGCCTGTCTGAAGGAGCTGCGCAAGATCGAGGCTCAGCCCGGGTGCTACCTGCCGCCTATCCCCGACTGCCGGGTGCTCGCCATCGACTACAACAGCGGCACGCCCATGCAGAGGTCAGGGGTCAGGTCGCGAGCAGCCCAGGATCAGGTCAACCGTGCTTTCTCGGATCAGGTCAACCAGATGGTCAACCTGCTGATGGTCCCGGAACATCGTAGCTTGGCACTCCCGGGTCAGGTAACCTAACGGTCTCGGATCAGGTCAATGTGACGGTCCCGAACCAGGTCACGCTGTTTCGTCTGTCCAGAGATCAGCAGCACGCTCCGGGGCCTCAGCCCCCCCCCCTTCCCCCTCCCCCCTACCCTCGTATCGACGCCATTTAGCCGTCTCAGCTGAGGGTGGGACGCGAGCACCACCGGTGGCGATGCAGTGCGCCCGCGCGGTGTCGGAGTACGCGCTGTGCTGCCCTGGCGGCTGCCCCCGTTGCTGACTGGCGGCCGGCCGTGCTGCAGTGCCGCCAAGGCGCCCCTACCTGGCCCGGTTCCGCGTGGAGAGGTGCGGCATCAACGAGCTGGAGCAGCAGGCCATGCTGATCGGGGAGCCGGCCGAGCGGCGGCCCTCCATGGGACCCGAGAAGTGGCAGGCCGCCATATTCAAGGTTAGACGCCCCGCACCAGGCACGCGTGGCTTGAAAATACCGATTCTGAACGGTGTGCAGCAAGGCTTTTGAACAGGTTAAGTTGACCGCGTATCTTGGCCCCACCACTAATGTAACGTGACTCCGTTCGAGCACGGCATGTCGCACCCGGTCTACAGTCACGCAGACGAGTGGAAGGTTTGTTTTGATGTCATACTGTGCCATTACACGGCCTGCCTGCTGTCGGGGCCTGTGGTAGGCTCCGCTGGTAACTTCACCACACGCACCGCACCTGATCCTACCTCATGCGTTGAAACAGCGGCCCTCGTCCGGAGTTTTGCACGCTGTCGCCTCCCAGGCTCAGGGTTCGGAGGTCAGGCGCTGCACTAGCTGGGTCAACAGAACTGAACACCCGACCGGTCGAGATGTGCGCCAGTGAACGGCCCGCCCGCCCGGCGCTGCGGAGCTATCGCGACGCTTCTGCTTACCCGTCACGGGTGTTCTGCAATGCTGCGATACACCTGTGTATCCTGCGATGCTTGTGGACACGCGAACGCCTATATGAAGCTACTCGTATGTCTGTGTCTGTGTTGTGACAAGCCTGTGCGCGTGGGTATGTCCGTTGTGACGCGTCTGTGCGCGGGTTAGGTCTATGACACAGCTGGGCGTCCCCAGGTGGGCGACGACGTGCGTCAGGACATGCTGGCGCTGCAGGTGATCGAGCTGTTCCAGAACATCTTCCAGCAGGCCGGCCTGGACCTGTTCCTCTACCCGTACCGGGTGGTGGCCACATCGCCCGGCGTGAGTCTGCGTCGCCCGGGCCGGCGCGGCTGGTGCCAGCGTCCTTCTCACGGCATGGTCCGGCGGCACGGAGAATTAACAATTCGAGGTGGACACGGAAGCTAAACGAATCTAAAACATGCCGTGCTGTACACCATGCAAGAAGTTTCGCGCACCTGCGACGCATCGACCCGGGTTTTTAGAGCGAGCATTTTTGTCTGTTCCCCCGCCCCTCCCCTTTTGAGAAGTCCCGTCTGCGCTCACGCTAGCGCTCATTCCAAGCCAGTCGTTGACCGGGCTAGTGTTGACCAGTATTGGGGCTCTTGGTAGGCTCCGTTGGTAACTATTCACCGAACTCACCGTACCTGATCCTATCTCATGGGTTCAAACGGGGTTTTGCATACGCTGATCATTTGTCGGTTTTATCAGTAGTTTCTTCGTTTTTAGTTCAGTGAACTGAACCTGCCTGGAGTTTGGGATTAGGATGTGCGGTACATATTCAATTATATGAATGCTACCCTCATCCGCTCTGACCACGACAGAAAAGTATCCACACTTTTTCGTCAGAGTTTCCAGAATCCCATCAGCGCGATATCGGTCATAGGGTCCCGAACGGTCCCATGTTATCAACGTTTGCAACAGTAACACCACATTAACGAACGCTTGCCGTGGCCGTGCGGACGTTTAACCGTGGGCTTTGGGGTTTCAGTGCGGCGTCATTCAGTGTGTGCCCAAGGCCAAGTCCAGGAGCGACCTGGGCAAGGAGACTGACTTCGGGCTGTTCGAGTACTTCCTCACGACGTACGGCCACGCGTCCAGTGCCAAGTTCCAGGTGAATATGGTTTTCTCAGCTCGTCAGTGTCATGGCAAGCCTCAGGTAGTTCGCTTTTGGCGAAACTTGCTTGAAGCGGCACATGTCGGAGGACGCTTGTCTAGTCACGTGGCCGCCTCGTTTTCTCCGTTCAAGACTGGCAACACCATTTCGCCGCGTGTGCGATGGGAGCCGTTCTTGAACGGCGTGCGAGCCCGAGTTTACCGACGTGCTGTCCCTCTCAGTCACGCCGACAGGCGCCTGTCCGCTGGAGACTGTCCGACTGCCCGCCGTCCCTGTGTGGCCGCCGCCCGACTGCCCGCCGTTCATGTGTGGCCGCCGCCCGACTGCCCGCCTTTCGTGTGTGGCCGCCGCCCGACCGCCGTTCGTGTGTGGCCGCCGCCCGACTGACCGCCGTCCGTGTGTGGCCGCCGCCCGACTGACCGCCGTCCGTGTGTGGCCGCCTCCCGACTGACCGCCGTCCGTGTGTGACCGCCGCCAGGACGCCCGGCGGAACTTCGTCAAGTCCATGGCGGCCTACTCGCTGGCACTGTTCCTGCTGCAGATCAAGGACCGGCACAATGGCAACATCATGATCGACGAGGCCGGCCACATCGTGCACATCGGTAGGCGTCGGCCTGCCGCCCCTCACGCCGCGGACCGTTCGGCCGGCGCGTGCCGTGACGCCCGTCCCTGTAGTGGCCGCGGGCGTCGCCGGGGTGGGACTGTGCACGGATGCTCCGTCTGGAGTGGTATCCGGGGCCGAGGCTGCTCCGCTCGGCTGGTGTGTGACGTCATGACTGTGTCTGTAACGTCACGGCTGCGTGTGTGGTGACATGGCGCGGGGCAGGGGCGGTGTGGCCGCCTGTTTGTGCGCTGACACGAACCCGGGCCGCTGCCAGACTCGGCCTCGTGTTCGTGTGACGTCACGTCCCGGTGTGACGTCACATGGACAGCGCGGCGACATTTCCGGATGGTGACGCGTGTGTTGGGCCCCCCGCCAGACTTCGGCTTCATGTTCGAGTCGTCGCCGGGCGGCAACATCGGCTTCGAGCCGGACATCAAGCTGACGGCCGAGATGGTGATGGTGCTGGGCGGCCGGCTGGACGCCGAGCCCTTCAAGTGGTTCATGGAGCTGTGCCTGCAGGGATACCTGGCCATCAGGTGTGTGGTTCTCCTGGTCGCTTCACGCGTCGGCCGCGCCGCGAGGGCTGGTCGTTTTGAGGCTCCAGCCAGCACACTGATCGAATCAGCTCTGTTCCCTGACCGCCTCTGGGCAGTGTCAGCCAGAACTTGGGCAGAGAGGGTGGTCACTCGCACGCAGTGGGACACGGGGCTAGGCTGGAGACTGCTGGAGTCTTTCAACACGTTGAGGGGGATGTTGCCGAGGGATACATCAGGCTGATGCAACGTCTGCTATGTGGTGTGACCTGAGGTCGCCTGGGGAATGTCTTACATCTCACCCGGGAGCTTCTGGAGATGGCCCAACATTCAAAGTGGCACACACGCCGACGACTTCTGAGACCTTTCAAAGCTGACAAGCGACGCAGCCTGAGCATGAGGGCGCTTGAGGGCGGTCCGACGCCTGGACGGAAGGCCGTCTGGGGCCGCGCGGGGACGCCCGTCTCCGGCGGCGAGCTGACCGGAGCGTGCGCCACAGGCCTTACTGCGAGGCCATCATCTCGCTGGTGTCCCTGATGCTGGACACCGGGCTGCCCTGCTTCCGCGGTCAGACCATCAAGCTGCTGCGGGCCAGGTGAGAGGCTGGCGGCCGGAGTAGGGGGCCAGGCGATGGGCGCGGGTGTGCCCCAGCGCGGCCCTGTCTGGCGCTGATGCGGCGGGAAGGATGGTCAGTCACCGCCTCCCGTCGCCAGACGGCGCGTGTCAGCTCCCATCAGAGCTGTGCCCCAGCGCGGCCCTGTCTGGCGCTGATGCGGTGGGAGGCGCGGTCAGCCACCGCCTCCCGTCGCCAGACGGCGCGTGCCGGCTCCTGGCAGGGCTGTGCCCGAGCGCGGCCCCCAGAGCTCCGCGCTTCACCGAGGCCGTTTTCCGTGATCGTCTGGCCTGGCAGCCCAGTGGACGGGATCGAGTGACTGGTCAGTACGCAAGCCTCGTGGTCGACTCATGTGCCCCTGTATGCTGGACAGGTTCGCCACCACCTGCAGTGAGAAGGATGCGGCCGCCTACATGACCAAGGTCATCAACAACTCGTGCCTCAGCTTCCGCAGCAGGACGTACGACATGCTGCAGTACTACCAGAACCAGATCCCCTACTAAAGGGATGCTGTGCTACCAGAACCGGATCCCGTGTGAGGGGGACGACTCGCCACCGGCACCGGATCCACACTGTGGTGGTGCTATGCTGTAGAGCTAGTCCTTCCGAGCAGGCCGCAGCACTGCCTCGACCGTATCCCGTGGCCGTGGTCTGGCTCCGCCCGCGTCCGGCTGGCGGCCGCGGCGTGCGGCACCTGCCAGCCACGTCTGGCCGCGGCGGGCGGGGACGGCGGCGCAGCGGTCCCTCCTGCCTCCCGGCCGACCAGCGCGCCAGGACTTCCGCCCGGTGGCCGCCGGGGAGCGGCCACATCGGCCCGCGCGCGGCGAGCCGGAGTGGTGACGCCGCCTGTGCCATCACGGCCTGTGCAGTGGGATGGCGAACGCTTGATCCACGGTGATGCGGAGCGCGCTAGTTAAGCGGCGTTTTGTGTCTCGCGTCTCCAAGTGCCGCTTTCACGTGTCAGGCCGATGCGATGCATACTAGTTAGCGATGGGTAGGAATTTATTAGAACATATATATCAAGTACGGATATCTTAACCAAGGGGACGGTGCCAATACAGCTCGAGGCTTCGGCACGCGGTTAGGGATGTTTGGCTTACCTGGCAGGTTCAGTGGTTTCGTTGTCTCCGTGCCGCGGGCTCGGTACCCAGACTGACGAACTCACATGGAATGCATCTATAGTCAGCGATGATCATGTCCGTTCCCTGTTGAAGGTGGTCGCCTGCTGTCCTGTTGTCATGTTGGGACGGTGCTGAGGTCCCGCTAGGGGTTGTATCGCCGTTCCACGTATCCTGGTGCGTCGAGAGGAGGGGTGTAGCTGGTTGGTTCTCTTGGTCTAGTCAGGCAGACTGTGTATCCTGCGCACCCGGGCGCTCGTGACGTCCGTTACCAGTCTGGCGGGGAGTGGGCCGCGTTTTGTCGCAGGCAGCTGTGTTGGGTTGATTTTTGCTGTTATACAGGTGGTTTTAAGACCGAGCCATTCCGAGATGTTGGCTGTTCTGTGTGTCATGCAGAACACATGTGTTCTGCGGCGCAACCCGGTGTGAATGTGGTCACGTTCCCAATATACGGCAGTTCCGTGCAGGTCACACGCACATTACCCTGTCCCTGAGCACGTGCTTTCCAGACAAGTCTTTAATGCGGTCGCTCGATGACGTGCATATTTTCTATGTCATTCAGATGTGACATATTTGTCATCACGTGTTGCGGTCACCGTATCTGCGTGTCAAGAGCTCTTCTAACATTGTCCGGACCGGTCCCTCTCTGCGGTCGCTGTAGAGCTGTATTTGGGATGCTTCCAGGAAAAACACATCGCAAGTTTCTCCAACCTACTGGTCTGCCTGTATCTTTCATTGGTGCTTTGCGACGCATTCAGCTACTGCTGCTTTGCAGCGTCGCCTGCCTCTCACTCGAGTGGGACACGAAACGAAGCTGAACGAAGTTGTCGTCTCGCCAGTAGTGTTGCCCACAGCCTTGGTCTTGCCATTAATCTAGCCCAGAAGACGGTCGAATAATACGATCTCTTTTGTCCGGCTACATTCCCGAGTTGACATGGACCAATCTCAGCCGCATCGAGATACTACGCAGGCTGAACTTGGCGGCATATATTTCTGTATCGGACTACATATGCAAATGTGTGTAAAAATCAGAAGGAATCTCAAAACACTTCCACGATCCATCACAATATTACTAGGAAAAAGCTCATCATAATAATTTGGGCTTAGGCGTAGGCCGACAACCGAGGTCATTTTGCACACATGTCTGATATGCAAGGAGAGCCGGCGTCGGGCGTCCTCGCTGGCGTTGGACGGGCCGGCGTGGCAGCGCCGCCCAGCCTTCCCCTCCGCCGGCGGTCAGTCGGGCCCCGCGAACAGCCGGGCGATGTCCTCGGCCAGCAGCGCCAGACTCATCCCCTCCACGTTGGCGATGATCGCGACAGTCACACCGCGCGGCCGGCCGGCCGCGCCGGGGTCGCCGGCCGCCGCCGGCCGCACCAGCAGCACCGAGCTGCAGCCGGTCGCAGCGCCCGTGTGCCAGGCGACCAGCGCGCTGTTCGGGCCGGCGCCCAGCTCCGCCCGGCGGGGGCGCACCCGCCAGCCGCGCGCGTAGTTGCGGGCATGATCTGCCGCCGCCGCCGGCGGCGGCGGCGGCGGCGGCACGGTCCACAGCCAGCGCGCGGTGGCCGGCCTCAGGTAGCCGGCCGGCGAGGCCGTCTCGTCAGCCTGCCAGCTGTACAGCACGGTGTCGGCGAAGCGACACAGGTTGGCAGGCGTCGAGAGCAGACCGCCGCCCGCCCACTTCCACGAGTTGTCCACGTGCGGAGCGTTCTGCAGCCGCCCGCCGCTGCCATGCACGTAGTACCTGCGCCGCCAGAGACGACCAGTGTCAGTGGTGGTGTTGCACTTGCCCATTAAGTGTCCCATTCCGAGTATACCGCACGTCCAGTACGTCTACGGAGTCCGTCCGTCTCCTTATTTCGGGTCTGTCTGATTATTCCACTGTTCTGCCGCCATCTGACAGCGGAGGAACCGAAGTGATTAAGTGATAAAACAAACAGCATGAACTTCAGACGACACCGAAGGACGAGTTAATATTGAGAAAGGCTAAACGTCGTCCACAGCATCTCTAACAGATGCGTAATGCGTGCAGCGCCGCTGAGAAACCCCAACTAACGAGCAGCCCACCGCCTGTGAAGGTAGGACGACATCACGACCCAGGCGCCGCCCGAGCTCCGGCGACGCTGGGGCAACTGATACAACGCCGTCGCGGCCGGCTGGGTCCTGGCACTGACCCTGGGGCCGCCCGAGCTCCATGGACGCTGGGGCAACTGATGCACGCCGTCGCGGCCGGCTGGACCCTGGCGCCGACCCTGGAGCCGCCCAAGCTCAGGGGACGCTGGGGCGACTGATGCACGCCGTCGCGGCCGGCTGGGTCCTGGCGCCGGCCGGGCGCGCTGACCCTGGAACCGCGCCTGACCGGCTGGAGCCGCTCACCTGGCGCGGTGCCGCACGATCGGCGCGTTTCTCGTCCAGAAAGGTGTCGCGTAAGTCCAGTGCGTGAAACATCTGCTTCAGCAGCGTGGAGAACTTCGTTTGGGTGGCCGCCTCCAGGACGGCGCTGACCAGAGTGAAGCCGTGTGTCGAGTAGTGGTAGTCACTGCCTGTCGACACGACACGACAGGTCACGCTTTCGCTGGGTATGGACGCCTACGGAGTTCGCATGAACTTGAACTTCTCCAAGTTCGTATGGTAGATGTATCTTAATCAGCCCTCTTCATAAGAGTCCAACAGCAGCAGCAGTCCTCATAGAAGTAAATCATCCGCAGAATTAATGGCATAATAACATTAAGTGTACCTATCAATGGCAACAAACAAATTCAACTCAAACAAAAGTGGCGACCATTCAAAGCAAAACGCCTCAAACTTTAACCACCTACTACAAATGCTAGACGGCCCAATGCCGCAGCGATGCCAGTTGCTGAATGCGAGTAAGCTGCCATGTGGAAGGACGCAGCATCACCACACTTAGCCGGCTGGCTTGTTCGGAGCGCTCGGTAATGACATGTTACACGTCGGTGGTGCCGACAGCGCGAGCAAAACAAGGAAAACATCCACAAACCTGGCTTGTGAACAAGTTCATCATCCTTGAATACACTCAGGGCATCACCAACAGAATCATACTTGGTCTGGGTTCGGAATTCCCTGAACTGAAAATCGGATCTGTCAATTTCTCGCTGATCACTAGATTTCTTGACCTTGTCGTTCATTTTCTTTAAGGCTATTCTTTCATCAGCAGGCACAGTCGTGGCACTGTCCTTTTCTCCGCCTTCTCTTTTGTTCACTCTCTCATTTTTTGCTATTTCTTCAATAGACCCATCCGATTTATTCGCTTCATCTTCCGAAAGTATCACATGCGCCAGCTTGTTTTTTCGCAACTTCTCCGCTTTCTTCTTAATCTCTTCCACCTCATGTTTTTGGCAGTAATGCCTGATTCCTCCTCTGTGCGTCACCAACTGATCAATAGTCATGTCCACCTGAAAAAAGATATTCAGTGATAAATCCGGCAGGCAGAACCATACCGCACGTTTGCAAGAACACCACTGAGAGGACGGCGCCAGTCGCTTCATGCATTCATGGGAACACCCACGACGATTAACAGCAATATTTTTCCGGCCCTTCACCGGGCGCGGTAACTTACAAAACGTTAGGGGAGTCAAAACTCGTTGAGAATTGCCTTTTTATCGGCTGTCAGATTTTTATCTGTGGGAGAAGGGGCATAGTACGCGACAGGCCCTGCCAAAGTTCGCGGATATCTGCCCTCACCCCGCCCCTCACCCTTGATGTCGCTGTTAAGTTAGAACTGCGGCCAGTAAACTTCCTGTAGCGGAAAATGACCCCAGATCTTCGATCATCTGCCCCACCCGTCAGGGCATTATGTTCCACGTTTACGCATCTCTCACTGCGATGACACCGAACTTCCCTAGCACAGAGCACAACACCGGAATTTCCCAGCACAGAGCACAACACCGAACTTCCCTAGCCCAGAACACAACACCGGAATCTCCCAGCACAGAGCACAACACCGGAATTTCCCAGCACAGAGCACAACACCGGAATTTCCCAGCACAGGGCACAACACCGGACTTCCACAGCACAGGGCACAACATCGGAATTTCCCAGCACAGGGCACAACACCGGACTTCCACAGCACAGGGCGCAACACCGGACTTCCACAGCACGGGGCACAACATCGGAATTTCCCAGCACAGGGCACAACACCGGACTGCCACAGCACAGGGCACAACACCGGACTTCCACAGCACAGGAACAAATTCATGGCATGTGTTATTATGTACGCAATTAAATCCTAACAGCTAAAAGTTTCAGACAGATGTATAAAAATAAAACAATCGAGTACATGCGATGCTCTCTTACAACACACAAGAAATCGAGCACACCTGCGGCGCACTCACCTCAAGGTTTCATTTTTTAGCTGTATCCCCCCCCCCCCTCTCTCCCCCCTCACACAT